AGAAATAAAATGAGAATTAACTTGGGATATAATTGTCTGATTCTAGCAGAGGAAATCTTCAGGCTTGATGAATACATAGCTTCCTCAGTACTTATGATTCACTGACATATTACCTTCTTGAAAGAAGAAAACAAAGTTTCTTTAAAATAATGTAGCTTAAACTTGCATTTCGTATTTCAGGCTGTCTTCTGAACCACAGACAAAGAAGACTTCACTGTTAGAACTCTCCAAAGAGCATCACTGTAATTTCTGCAGTCTTGAAATTTGCTCCCAGCCTCATTCTCCTCATGGAGAGCTGCTATCAAGAGCTACAGTACAGTAAACAATGGCCAATAATTATGAATCTTAGGAACTGTCTTCAGTTTTTGCTTTTTTTTTTGTTAACAGCTGTTTCTGGCACAGAAATTGTAATTAAACACATTGCTAATATGTACCTTCCTTCCTCCAACACATTTCCTGACTTCAAAAAACTGCAGTGTTTTGTTAGTTTTTGAAAGCAATACTCTGGCTAGCTCAGCTCACCTTCAGATGGTTAAAGTGCCATATCACAATTCTGCATTATACCACTTTAGTTCACATAGCATGCTTTGTATGACTGTAGTTGTATAAAAACAACCTGATATATGAACCCAGACAGAAAGCTTTCTCCTATTGAAAACAATCCAGGTAATCTGCTAACTAGAATGCAGAATAGCCTTACACAACTCAAAATGGCCCTGATCAGTTTTCTAGCAAGCTGAAAACATAATACCATAATACTGTTCTGGCAGCTGTGGGAGAATTGATTTTCCTATACGTCTCAGAGGAACAGGGTGCAGCTAATAAAAGAATGCCAGGAATGTAAGTACAGCAAGGAGAGAATGTTGGAAGGGGGATCTGCTGCAAGAGCAGCACCACCTCACATCAATCCATGGTGGCCTCAGTAATGAAAATCAAGCCTGGGAAAATGACCACAAAATCCTCAACTATTCCGCTTACTAGATGATAAGGAGGCCCAGAGCTGAAGTTGCTTAAACAAGTGTACCTCACATGATAAAACAAACGACCTGCTCTAGAAAGACTAAATACATTGAAAGAGCCTAGCATCTAGGCTATAGTCTGAAAGTCTATACACACAATAGATTTGCAGATACTACTTACAGATAGAAGTATTAAAATGATTACCAAACAAGCCTGGCCCATTGGTGGATTCTACTGCATTTAACCAGTATTACACCACAGTTCCTCAAAAACCTTAAGAATTAGGTTTCTGGTCTAGTTTTTTCCCCACATACCTTTTCCACAACACTGAGAGGCAGTGCTAACAAGAGAATCTGATCACAAAAGAACAAACTGTCCAGGTGGTTTTTTTTGTGTCTTTTTCTTGAGAGCAGATTAGTGAATGGAGTGGACAACTAACTAGTTTGCTACATACTAAAGACTTAGTTTCATTGCAGTTGGCAGTTGTTAGCTGTAGATGCAACAAATATAAATATCCATTTTCTACAGATAAGTTCACTAGAAGTCATACCACAAACTGATGCCACACTTCAACAACACTGGGAACAGAATTGATGACTCTTGACTTCTGAGCTTTCCTGTAACTATCAGCTACTCCTCCCTGCTTAGAAACTATCCTAGTGTTCTGCTCTGGCTTTCTCACATACACTGACATTACTGCAACTGTTTCTGTGAATCTAAGTGCGGTAAATAAGAGTTGGTACTGGAGATGCAGACAGAACAACTGATCTGCCTGAACAGCTTTACAGTTTTACTCATTATAGATCTGAAGAGTACTTGAAGCAGCTTAATCCCCAACAAGACAGACATGGACTGCTTGGACTTTAACTGAACATAAAGAAAAATTAGCTTAGGCTCAGAACTAGCTAAAATAGGCCAAAACAATTGCTTGTGAGTCTTACAATAAAGCTGAGAGAACAAGAAAAATACAATAAAAGCAGATTTTCTTCTATACCACACATCATCACAGTCACATACAGAAGACAGAGCAAGACTTATAAAAATTACTACAGAGGAAATGCCACTATACCAGGAACAGTAATAGCCACTGCAGGCATTAAGAAATTAAACAAGTTGGCTGGGATCACCTGGAGCTACTTAAGCTCTGACAGAAGTCTATAAAAGGGAAAAAACAGATCCAGCTATAGTGTGCTATCTCCCTTTCTTCAGTACAGAAGGGCTTCTGCTTTCCTCCGGCTCCCAGTTTAGTTACCTATCATTTTCAAGACAGCTTGGAATTGTCAGTTAATTACTTTTCAGTTGGAAGGAAAAACAAAGATTTTTGTTAATAAAAGGCTGAATCCTGTTTTTTAGAGGAATAACCCACTTTTTTGTTAATAAACATTGAGTTATGTGCTGCTTCCCTATATATCAAACACAAGCTGGAAAGCAACATCATTTGGCTAAAATGAAATATTGTCTTCCCTTGAGCTTTTGAAGAGGTGTTGGTCAACTACTGCTTTTAAATATTTAGGACTCAAACAGGTTTTGTATCAATTTCCTCTTTTTAATTTCTCATAGCTATGCAAGTACTAGAAATACGGTTAAATCCTAGCATCTGGCATCAAAGGTGCTGGGGGAAGGGACAGGGAAAAGGAAGTCATACAGCAATTGCTTTTTCTAAGTAACACCAAGAAATTCACTGATTTAATTTTTATTTTGCACTACCATTCAGAAATGCTGCTCATCACACTGATTAAAACTATATGCAACTTCAACACCTTTTAAAGAGCTTAACTTAAAGAAAGCAAAGAGTTTTTTTTCACACACAGTATCTACTTCAAAGTGCTCCTGCTCAAATTCTTACACCTGCTCCATGCACAACAGCACACTGATGAGGACTGACTGAAAGGCATATGCAGGGAGGCCAAATAGTCCCCCTGGATTTGCCAGAGGCTGCAATTCATCCAGAAGCACAAGCTTACTGCATGAGACATCTCTGCCCATATGTCATGCCCCAAAGAGGAGACATCATATCCCTGCGTTTTAGACACAAGGATTTTCAGAGCATACACAAGGGTTTGCAGTAAATATTTCATTTCTTTAAATTCAATTCCTACCAAAATAATACTGAGGCCTTTACACAGTGAAATAGTTCCACAATTCCAAGAAGCACAAGGATGTGGAACAAAGCACCCAAAGAATAGTTTTAATATTCATTTTGAAGCAAGTGTGGAAAATGATCCTAATTTGCGGGCAAAACTGACCCATCTGAACTTTCCATCCTAGAATACTACAATACCATAAAGATCCAGAAATAATCTTGTCTACCTTTAGAACATTCGTTCACAATTCTGTAACACAAAACAAGAGGAAGATTACTTAATGTAAGATGGACAGAGCATTTTCTTATAGAAAAAGTCTTTACATCAGATATCTCAGATTTGAAAAAAATCGTACTGGATTATTTTATCTTAAGTATTCAACAGCATTTTCCTGTTCAGCTTTCCCTTTACTATCAAGTACTAGAAATCACGAGAAAAGTGTTCACTGGATCACCTTTTCTATTTCTACATCTCCTAACAACACTGTCTAATTCAAGGGTATTTCTACTCCTCCAAGCATCCTCGTAACACTGTATTTTGATAATGTTTTTCACTTAAATTCCACATGCTCTACAAACATTAGGTTTTTAAATCACTCTGGGATGAACAGTTAGATCAAGTTTACCAAGGAGCAAATAAAGGCACAAATAGATTAAGCATCCCATCTATTAGCCTCCATAACTGCAGGGGAAGTTCTATTCAGAACACAACAGTGAGAAAAAGCAGCATTTATTAGTGGCTTGCTTGAGACGCACAGGAAATCTGTGTCAAGAACCAAGTAATCCAGTCTCCAGATCTCTGTTCAAGATACTTCTTTAACCTTTTCTTTAAAGCATTTTACTAATTAAGTACATTTCATCGTGGTGGTGGAGGAACAACCTAAAGAGGAACAACAAGATGCTCACACAGCACTAAGCCCAACTCATGATCTCACATTACTACAACTCCGGTAAATCACTTATCCCCTTCCCCATACTGTGTCTAAACTACAGCAGAAAATCCTCCAGACCTGCCACTATTTCCTTTTAAAGAACTATAAAGGCTTACAGTGTCACTCAAGAGTACTGGAGTTCCATTTTTCTTTCCTGCTTCTCGGGGACTGTTCTGAGTAACCAGAAGCTCAGGAAAGCCCAGAGTTCCACAGTCATTGTTCTCCTCACTAAGACTTATAAGGTATTTAGCAGAGCTGCAAACAACACTGTAGAACTCCTAAAATCAAACGTACGTTCAGTTCAGATTGTGTCAAAGGCTCCTAAAATCCCACTTTCTCTCCCAAAACTTAATGGCAGGGAAATGAGCGCAGCGCTCTTCGTGTACGTTATTATGTAAAAGCACAAACAATTCCACTAGAGTTTGGCATCTGCGCTTCAGCACGCCAGTGAACATCACTTCTGTGAAATCTCACACGGGAGCGGCGCATCGCAACCTGCGATGTAAGAGCACTGAATTACAGGAAGGGAATAAAGACAGAACGTAAACCTTTCCAGCTTAGCTGCTCCACCACGCATTCAGAAGACAGAACCCAAACTCCGCAGGCAGAGGCAGAACGAGCCGTCTCTGCCTCGCACCCGATTTCCTTTCCAGATTGTGCAGCGTTCAGATTTCTCCTCAGATTACCGGCTCCACGCGCTCGCCGCCTTACTGCTTCCTGCGCACCTACATTCACCTCACGGCTCCTTCGACCTCACGGCTTCCATTCGGTCGGTCGCCCTACGACAAAAGCGGCTTCTGCAGTGGGAGATCAGTACCCTCCCTCCGAGGCTCACGGGGGCAGACGGGCCGCTGTCCCGCTGAGGGAGCCCGGCGCTCAGGGCTGAGCCGCCGCTCTTCAGGGCGACCCGCCGCCAGAGCCTCCGCTCGGCTTCGCGCGCCACTCTGATCTCACCAATCAGCGAACGCCGTACGGGCGGCCGCTCGAGATCCCACCAATCAGGTGCCCGCTTCTTGAGGCAGCCTCGAAACGCCACCGCGGGTCCCCAGCGCCGTGGCGGCCCGCTTTGCCAGTGACCCTGATGGCGGCCCCGGCAGCGCTGGGGGAGGCCAGGAGGGCGAGCGGCTTCCCCGCTGAGGCGGTCCGGTGCGGCTGGTGAGTACAGGCCGAGCGGCGGCGGCTGGGCTCCGTCCCGCCGTGGAGCGAGTTCGGGAGGGCCCGCGCTCGTACAGCTGGGATTTGCCCTTCGGCCCCGGCCCAGTCGGGAGGCCTGAGGAAAGCCCTCCCCAACCCTCGGGCCGGGGGCTCCCGCGCAGCGCCGTTCCCCTCAGCGGAGCGTTACCTAGCGACTTATGAAGGAGACGGGAGAGAAAGAAACAAACAAATCGCAGAAAGCTCCGACACGTGGTAGTTCTAAGGCACACCCGGCTGGGTGCTCCTCTCGCAGGTGGGGCGGCAGCCGGGCCCACCCGCACGGAGGGAAACGCCTCAAGTGCCCACCCCTCGCCTCGGGGCGGTCAGCCGCGGCTCCGCGTCGGGGCTCACGGCTGGGAGTCGGGCTCGTAGCTGATAACTTCCTGAGTCTTATCAGCACCTGAAGTTATCAGACTAGCAGTACATGGACCCAACATATCCATCCATCCTCCTGAAGCAGCTCCAAGTAGTATCGCTCTCCCCCCCCACACACACAGTTTCAAAAGAGATGAAGCCCCTATGGCAAAACTGCTTAAAATCCTATTATTTCTTACAGCAATTGTAGAAATAAAGTTCAGAGTTGAACAGTGGACAGCACAGTATGCACAAGAAGATGCAATAACGTAGTACGTCTATATTTCAGGTTCCTTAAAAACAAGTTACAGTGTAAACAAATTATTAGCAGCTACTGTACTATGTTAAAGTACACATCTTGTTCAAATAGAGCAGAATTTAAATAAGCTAGAAGGCATAAGAGTCACATTTTAAGAAATCTGTGTAATACAGACACACATGCTGGTGGCTTTATACAGGATCTTGTGCTCTTTCAGTTAGTACTTTTTCTCTGTCATCTTCTACTCAAGCACATCAACACATAATATTCTTAACTCGAACGCTTTAAATAAGTGTATTGCCAACACTTTATCTGATAAGAAGATTAAAATATTAGCAGCTTTAGCCTAGGTCCCAGGAACAAATATTGGCAATGCAAGCAGAACCAAGAAAACAAAACTTTCCCCTTTAGTCTTCATATTACATCTTTAACAGCTTAAATTTGTATTTCTTGAAAGTTGCCCCTGTTTCAGATACATTCTTGTCAGACTAGCTACTAGAAGACACAGCAAACACTGCTAAGATCAAACTGCTCAAACAAGAGCCACCCTAGAAGTGAGAGGTTATAGACCCCTGTGACTGGTGAAGCTTGCCACGAGCTATGGGGGATTGACCAGAAGACCAGTCCTTTGGTAGGGTTGTCCAAAAAGAGAGGCCTGCCTAGGGTGTGGGCAGCACTGTCCTACCTGTAGGACAGAGTTTGCTTTGTCGCATTTCGATTTTTAACACCTGTAATTATATATGAGACCGCTTGTACACCACATGGAGCACTTGGGATCTTTGTCCAGAATATTCTTAAGTGAACAGTGGAAAAAAAAAGTTGCTAATGAGCTGCATGGAACTTTTCTGTTCTCTAGTCACAGTAGAACAAGTTAGCTTACTACCATGATTCTAGACACAGTTATTCATCATAAGATTTTAATGGAATTCATGAAAATAATAAAATACAAAGTCTGTTGAACTGAACAGTGCATTTTCCACTTAAGAGTCATACTCTGTTTGAATGAATATATGCATGTGATCGCCCTAATAGCCTTCAGATGCTGTGCCTATTTGGGGGGAATTCTCAGAAAGCATTCTTATCACTATGATGTTTGTTAGTGTTCTACTTTCAAAGAAACAGGTTTGCTTCTTACAGCTTTTTAGCAACAGCAGATAAAGTGTTCACAGGTATGCCAATAGTCATATACTGAAAGAAGAATGGAACTCACCAAGCTGGTGAATGAGCTCTCCAGCTATGCAGCATTCCTTCCCAGAAAATAGCTCGGTCCAAAAGATATCTTCCCTTATGTGGCTGGTCCTTATATGAGCACAGGGTGGCTCCACCGTGGGTCCAGCCCTTCTGGTCACTTGGGGAGCACAGGTGCACATTGCCTGTGCTCCCTAGGCCAGCTACATCCCTTCACCAGGTGCTCAACCTCCAGTTCAATTTGTGACTTGTAACGATTTCCCTACAGTTAAGTGTCTCCAAATGACAAACACTAGTGTAAGAGCTTTTTTACTTAGATTTACTGTAGGCAGTTATACAGTCTTATTTATAAAGTGAAATTAAGAGAAAAAGCTATGCTCTTCTCTATGAGTATATCAGCAAAAAATGATTTGCTTGAAGATCCTATAGATACAGCATGGTCTTTTTAATTTTATTTTGGGCTGCTGTGTCTTTGTGGTTTTCAGTCGTTTAAGTATTTTTTAATTGAGGTTGTTATAAAATCTTGCTTATCATAGTAACCATTGTCATGACGAATGACAGCTATCAGTTTTGCAGTGATTTCTTCATACATTTACTGTAAAGTGTTTTAGTTACCATTTAAGATACCATACCAGAAAGCAGATGACGTGTCCTCACTCTGCAGAAGCTGGAGAGGCCCTCACAGCATTTTGTTGTTGTTGCATTTTTCACTTTCAATCAGGCTAAATACAGATAATGCCTTTTTGTAGCAGGCTTAGAGTACTTGAAGCAGAAAAGATAAAGAAATCCTTTAATTGCTAAATACTCTTTGTATAATCAATGAATATACAGATGTTATAATTATGAAGTAAACAAGAGAGTTTGGCTAAGCAGGTCATTATACCAAAAAGAGAACAGATAGAGTGCTTAAGTGCTTACCTTGTTCTGAGCTCACTGTAAAAACCCAAAAGAGGGATCTCCAGAAGGAGATCCTTCCCCACTGGTAGTCAGCTCTTAAATGGGTCTAGGAGAGGTGGAGCCAGCTGCATCCCTTCTAGCAGGGCAGGTGAATTACCTTCACCTGTGCTCCCAGGGCTGACTCATTGCTCGCCTCAGGTGATCAATCACAGGTTCAGGCTGTGATTCAGCAGTTCCCATACACTCTTCTTTAAAATTTATTTTTCCCAAGAAAGAAAAATGAAGATAATGAAAATCTTTCAGATATATCGTTCCTCAATTTGGGGTGGCATCAACTACTGTGGGTACAGCAAGGTAGACTAAACTACTTTGATCATTCTTTTGATCAGATCTGTCAATTGCTTATCAAGCCACCAGAGAAAAAAGGAAAAAAAGGTGTTCTTTCAGTTGTGTAGCATTTTGTTTTACCCATCTTATCTTTCAAGTAAATTGATACTCTCACTGAGGACTATTTACTTGAGATAAAGACTGGTGTGCCAAAGCTATGCCTTACCTCCCTACTCCTTCCCTGTTGCTCAGGTCTTGCTGTAAGACACCAATGTTCTTTGGAACAAGTCTAATGCCCAGGCTCAGTGCTGAAGAAAGAAGGAAGGAGTCAGAGACCTTTTTTCTTTTTGAAAATTCTCAGCAAGTACTATCTCCCAAAAAGCATGCCTTCAAGTGAAAGACAAATTTTAAAGTTAATTTCAAGTTTAACCTTGTTCCTGAATCAAGGTAGAATAGATCTCTCTCTAATTCCTGTCACCTAGCAAGGGGAGTGAAGCTTGGTGAAATACATTTCTGATTCTTCACAGCCATGCACAAATGAGACGTTTGGCCACTACTGAGTTGATAATACTTAGCACATATACAGGAACAATTTAGAGGATCTCACTTTACAAATACTCATACGCATACTTCACAGTTTCTCTCTGACGCAGATATGTATATCCGTATCAGTAATACGCGGTTATTAAGCAAAGAATGTTTAGCTTTTTACAAGTCATTTTTTTTTTTGCAAGCCGATACCGAAGCCAAGAAGCGTAGCTGCCAGCTCCCTTCTGTGCTCTCAGTGGGTCTCACATCAATTGACACTATCACTTTATGCATCTTTGAGAACCCGTATGCCAGCAAGTGTGCCAGTGTTGCAAATTAGGAGACAGACATCAACTCCTCATGAGTAGGAAGTCCGTATGTTTCTGCTGATATCAAAACAATGAGCTCTATCTAAGCCATGTTTTCCTAAGGCAGCTGCTTTTTTGATTATTATAGGTTCCCCCTTGTTTCTGTTCTTGATGGATTGGAATTCTGTTATTGAGGAATTCATTTTTGATAGTTTCACTGAACATGAAGACATGTTCAGTTTCCCCATTATATTTTATAATCTGTTCTAGTGATTGAATGCTGTGGGGAAAATTAAGTTGATTTGCTTTTCTCCCTAAAGATTTGCTACTCCTCAAATGTGTTTTTTTTCCCAAGTATCTGTAGGGGAGAGTTAGAGTGAATTAATGCACATTTCTGCAAATATGTACACTGTACATTGCCTGCAGAATTCATAAACTGCTTCAGCTCCTTATTGTGTGAAGCCATTTTCTGGGTGTTTGCAAGACCTCTGTGAGGCATATGAGATTTTAGTTGTTATGGCATAATTTTTGCAAACAATCTTGGAGAATATTTATTCTGGTAAAGTATGTATTTGAAAGAAAGCTTACAAATCAGAGTTTACACAGCTACAATACCAATCCTAGTGTAGAAATTCAGGAAAGATATCTGTCTTCTCCTTTAGCATCACTTGACCTGAAGCTAATTTTGGAGAAGCCCTGAGCACATATGATGGTGAAGCAGTGCTGCATGCACTGCTCTGATTACTTTTACAAGGTCTTCGTATATCGTTCATTTTAACAGGTTTTGATTTTATCTAGATAAGAATTATCTTTCCAACTAGTCTTTCCTTTTTAGCACTTGTGCTTTGTATGCTGCTTCCTAGCACTGAAGGACTTCAGGGTGGTATTCGTAAGCATGCAAATGATGTGCCTTGAACTTTAAGGAATGGCGTGCCTTGCATTCAAGATCACATTTCAGTTTGGTGCTTAAATCAGAAAGTCATTTGCTGCAGTGCAGCAAATCCTGCTTCCTGCCCAACTGTCTCCCTGCATGGCCCCTACTGCTGCTAGTGATACAGACTCTGAAGAACAAACAGCTGAAGATGTTTTTACTTGCTCTGCTTTTGTGACTGTGGCTTCCCAGTTGCCTGGTCACATCACTGATAATTATGATTTTGAAGTGCAGATCCAGAGACAAATACAGACATGTAATTTTTTTGTTTGAACATGTAAGGACAGGGTACACAAACCCCTTGGTAGATCTAATTAATCTTCTCTTGGGGGTGGGGTAAAAAAAAGAATCCTGGATTTATTTCTAAGCCCTCTCATTGTTAGTGGCCATCTTCTCCATCTTAAAATCATCTCATCTTGCCTTGCCTTATATTGAAATGATGCTCAAGTTAAAAATGGGTTATTGATGCTCTAAGCTGCTGCATGCAAACATGCAGAGTTGCATTTTCCTCCTTCCAACTCCCAGCACTCTTTGTCAGCTTTGCTCCTGTAACTTTATCTGATCCTCTCTTTGCAGTTGCTTTGATTGGCCTGGCTGGGATACAGTGTGCCTGAAAATAGCTCCATTCCTTTGATGTGTGCATATTGACAAGAGTCACAGAACAGAGTAGAGCAGAGTCCAGACTTGTGGCAGATGGCAGAAAACTGCACTTGCAGGCATTAGTTTCTGTACTGCAAGGAATTCTTTGATAAGCAGAATACTAAATACTTGCTGCTTCCCAGAATGCAGAGGCAGTACTTGCCTGCAAGAGAGGATATTTATATCTAACACTTCAGTATGGCAGTAGTGGCTTTCTGAGTAAGCTTTGGATGCCTTTTATTTTCCTTGAAATACCACAGTATTCAGAGAGTATTGTAGAATCATATCATAGAATCATATGATGGATGGGTTGAAGGGACCCTTAAGATCGTCTAGTTCCAACCCCTTTGCTATGGGCAGGGCCCCCTCTGCTAGATGAGGTTGCTCAAAGCCCCATCCAGCCTGGAAGTTTTTTTGAACGTTTCCAGGCAGGGAACATCCACAACATCTCTGGGCAATCTCTGATGAGACATTCTGTTCCAGTGTCTCACCATCATCACCATCAGTAAAGAGTTTCTTCCTAATGTCTGGTCTAAATCTGTACTCTTCCAGTTTAAAGCTATTTCCTATTTTCATGTTGCTACATGCCATTATAAAAACTCCCTCCTGAGATTTTCTGTAGTCCCCCTTCTGGTACTGAAAGGCTGCTATAAATTCTCCCTATGGAGAGACGTGCTACGGGAGATCAAGGAGCATATTGTCGAGAAAAAAGTTGGGAGCTCCAGAGCTGCTTCCTACTTCAATTCTACTAGAGTCCCAGTGTGCTAAAATAAAAATGGTCTAGTTACTAGTAGCATAGCTCTATCAAAGATTGGGAGTGCTTTTCTGCAAATGGAAGAATCATTACTGCAGGCTTCAATTAGAGATTAGCTGGACAAAGCTCGCAGTTGATAAGAAGAGCAAGACAAATAGCTATGGGTAGCAGCTTGCTCCAGCACCTGGCAGAATCCAGAGTCTGGTCAGCTTTTTCTGGGGACTAGCCTGAAAGTCTGTCAGGGCTTCAACAATGCTCTCACCCTGAGTCACAGAGAACTTAATTCATCTCCCATTTCCAGTTCTGGGGGGAGTTGAGCTAATGGAATCAATTCTGAGTAAAGAGGGAGATGCTGTACTGTCGGAAGCACTTTTCTGCTTCCCAGTTCTCCTTTTAAAAAACAATTTGAATTATGTGACTTCCATTACTTTCTTGTCCTAAAGGCAGTGATATTTGGAAATTAACTGCTTCCCTTTCTATTTCCACAGATGGTGATGTGATAAATATAACCAAGCTCATCTCTACCTAGGAGACATTCTTCCCTGAGAAGCAATCCACTTTTACTGGACATGCTTACAGAATTGCGTAGCCATGGACCTCAAGGAGAAGTGTCAGGTACGTTTCCTGATAAGAACCATGCCTAACCTAAGTGTCAAGTCCTTCTAATTGTCTTTCATTATTTTGAGTCAAGACTGACCACTTGGTGTTGTTATGTGACAATATAATCCATGGTTAATACAAAAATTGAGACTTCTGTCACCTTGACACTCATCGAGATGTACTCACTTGTCTCAGTAGGTAAGGTTTGTTGCGAGGTTGTCCAGCAATGGCAGAGTGCTGTTCTGTAAGAGTCACCTCCTTTGTTATATTCTATTGATCAATATTCACTGTGGTGAGATCTAGTTTCTTCAAGTGGTGAACAAACCTGTGAGTAGGGCTTTCAAGATACAATGTTGTGATTTCTTCATGCACTCACAAGTCAGCTGTGGATTTTAAGGGCCATTCAGTTTTGTTTTAGGAAATGTCAGTTAACCCAGGTGATGTGTTTGGGAAATTAATCCATCTGTTTGATGGCTTGGCCTGGCAGAGGCCAGAAATTGTTTCCCCACAGAACTATTTAAATATGTTGAGTTGCTAGGGTGTGAATACTCACTTTTCAATCAGTACCCTTTACAGAGAATCTCAGTAAAGGTGAAAGACTTAATAGCTTACAGAAACAACTCCAATGCCTAGAACAAGTCTTTTTTAGGCTGAGACTGAAGCACCGTAGTGGAACAACATAGGTGAAGTATATCACAGAATCAGGAAATCATAGAATGGCTTGGATTGGAAAGGACCTCAAGGATCATCCAGTTGCAAACCCCCTGCCACAGGGTTGCCAGCTGCTGGATCAAGCACTAGATCAGGTTGCCTAGGCCCCATCCAGCCTGGCCTTGAGCACCTCCAGGGATGGGGCACCCACAATATCTCTGGGCAACCTGTTCCAGCACCTCACCACCTTCTCAGTGAACAACTTTCCCCTCTAAATCTCCTCGCCTTTAGTTGAAATCCATTTCCACTTGTCCTGTCACTACGCATGTAAAAAGTTGATATTGCTCCTGTTTATAATCTCCCTTTAGATATTGGAAAGCCATAAAGATGTCTTTCTGCACCCTTCTCTTCTCCAGACTGAACAAGCCCAGCTCCCTCAGCCTGTCTTCACAGGAGAGGTGCTCCAGCCCTCTGATCATGCTCATGGCTCTCCTGTGGACCCTTCCTAAAAGCTCCACATCTTTCCTGTGTTGGGGGTTCCAGATCTGAACGCAGTACTCCAGATAGGGCCTCACAGGGGCAGAGTAGAGGAGGACAATCATCTCCCTTGTCCTTCTGGCCACTGGGGATACAATTGTCCTTTGGAGCTGCAAGTGCACACTATTGGCTCATGTCAGGTCTTTCATCTGCCAGAACCTCTTATTCCTACTCAGCAGGGCTCCTCTCAAGTTCTTCTCCCAGTCTGTATGTATATCTGGGGTTGTCCTGACTCGAGTTCAACAACTGCACTTGGCTTTCTTGAACCTCATTAGGTTTACACAAGCCCACCTTTTGAGTGTGACAGTGTCCCTTTGGATGGCATCCCTTCCTTCTGTTGTATCACTGCAAAACTCAACTTAACTTGGTGTTGTCCACAAATTTGCCAAGAGTGCACTTGATCCCATCATCTATGTCATTGATAAAGATGTTAGAGAGTACCAGTCCCAAGACAGACCCCTCAGGGTCACCACTCATCACTGCCCTCTGCCTGGACATGGAGTCATTTACCACAATCCTCTGTCTTTGACCACACAGCCAATTCCTTATCCACCAAATAGTTCTGCCTTCAAGTCCATACCTCTCCAGTTTAGAGATAAGGATGTGGTATGGGACCATGTCAGAGGCCTTGCAAAAGCCATGGTATTGCTCTGTTACTGACAAGTTGCTTTATTCACATTTACTTAAGTCTCCAGCAGATGCAGAGCCACAAGAAACAGCTGAAGAAGCACTAAGTTAAAAAGGGGCTGATACATATATGGTATGTGAGGATTTGCAAGTATTGTTGTTAGTGTTCCTTTTTTTCTCCTTACTTTTTTTGTTTGTGACAAACTGAGTAGGTGAATATAGTGAAAAGAGTATGTAAGAAAAAAATGTACCATTAGGACATTTTGTTCTTTTCTGCAATTTAAAATTGTTGTCTAGGAAACAAAATACTCTACAGAACTATGAAGGATATCTTTTTCCTTTTTTCTCCTCCTGCTTTCTAGTGAATTGACATTAAATGTGGTGGCTGCTTCCTTTCAAGATTTAAGAGCTTTGTGAGATGGCATACCAAAGTATAACTCAGTGCCAACATGAAGATTACTCATTCTTTCAGGAATTGTCTTAGATCAACACTGTATCTATTATCAATATGGAGATCTCTAATCACTGTATTTCTGGTTTTAAACAAAGAATATGAAGTGTGCCTATTTTGGCATCTGATTCTCAGGTAAGGAAAGGAAGTAAAGATTTTGGCTAGGGCTGGTAGGCAAGTCCTGACACCTGCATGTGGTCTTCAGAGCTGCACAATATGCTGAGACTGGAAGTCTTTGCAGTAAATGCCTGTTCCATTTTATACAGGTTGGCTATAATCCTTGGCAAGCTATTGACATGGTTCCAGTTCTTCACCCTTTTCTATGTAGAAGGAAATAATTGATGTAATGATTGCTTTGCAAAGCTGGGTAGCTCAGACAGAATCAGGACAGCACTGAAGCAGGAGCTACATAAAAACCCACTTACAAAGATGTTTACCTCCAACAACAAAAGGGATGCAATTCCTGTAAAATATGTGAGTGAGTGAAACTTCATTCCTTCCTTGCCTCCAAAGGCCTTTTTTTCATTACCTGTCATTGCACTCAGCCCTTCCCTGTCTGCACCATTTCTTCGCCTCTCTGTGGCATTGAACAGCTGGCAGTAAGCGGTGAGCCTCAGACATGGTGTATGGCTATGAAGAATCTCTGTGCACCTTTTGGTTTAGATAGGGTGGCACAGGATGTGTGAATGCTGATGGGGCATTTGCTGTTTTCTCTATGTCTTAGTTTCAGCTGGGACTCTGGAGAAAACAATTTCATCCTGGCTGAAACGAAGACGCACTATCAACAGGAAAAGAGGGTAGGAACACCTCAGACTGGACCTGTAGCCATCCTATTTATTTTTAAGTTGAGTTTGAATTCAGAGCTATGGAGTCCCCTGGATGATTCTCCTAGAGTTACACAGGGAAGCCAGCATTCCTGGGGCTCTCTGTCTCTTACCTGTTTTTTGTCCCTTGGCTGCTTAGGTGTTCCTTCTTATATAGTATATCTTAAAGCACTTTGTCCCATCTAATTTGCCATCTGTTTTTCCGCAGAGCCCTGTCTGTCAGCATCAACCCTTACTATGTGTGCATATGCATCTCTACAGACAGGGAACCCAGGGATTCTGGCTGAATCAATTCTGTCTGATGAAGAACCATTCTTTCAGATGTCTGGGGCTATCCTGGGCAAACTTCCTTCTGTCTCTGTCTTTTTTCCTTTCTCTCCTCCATCCCCCACCCCCATCCACCGCCTCCTTGCTGGATCTGCAGCGTGACTGGAAACAGGCTGAATTAATCAGCAGACTGGTGCTTCACTCTGCTGCTTCTGTCTCATTCTCTGCAGTGCTGGGCTGCGTGCAGTCTTTCTCTCTCTCCTTCTCTGCTTTCATTTTTGGAGGGCAGCAGCAGTGCAAGTTGCTATATAAGTGGCTCAGGAGTGTAGGCCAGATGCTCTTTAAGCAGGCTGATCTGTGGATCACCCACCAAGGCAAATGCCGCAAAGTAAGTTTCTCTCTCTTAATGTTTAAATTCAAAATGGCTTTCCTTCTCTCCTTCCCCAACCTGCATCTTGCCTGATGTGAAAAGCTGATGTGAATAAGCTCTGCATGAAAAGCTTGGAGGTTTTGAGGAAAGACGTTATAGCAGGACATGAAGCAGTGAAGATTTCTAGGAAGGGAATGGCTTTGTTGTTGGAGGGGTTGGTGAGAGAAGCCTTGTTTTAAATTGCAGGTTTAACTGTAGGACCAACAGGAGGGAGCAAAGATGAATTTAGCTTCTGACACCTGCTTTGCTACTCCTCTGCCTTTTGATTTAAATTTGTCTGTTTCTTCTACGTGCTTTGATCTGTGGCTGTCGAACATCAGTACTCCTTTTAAACATGTTTTGTGGTGCATCTGCCAGGCTATATAGTATTTTAGTCCTCAGAGTCTTCAGATAAAAAAGTGGGGGTTGGAAAGAAACTAATGGGAAGATAAAAGAATTACTGAAGTTCTGTGAATTTCTGAACATTACTTGTCTGACTGAAGAGATTAACATCCTCTGGAATAAGCTCTGCATTGGCGTAAAGCACCATAGTGTGTATCAAAAACAGAATAAATAGGGAGCTGTAACTGATCTCTGATCTTGGAGGAATACTGTGGCTGGCTAAATTAATTACAGATTTAGAATTCCATAGTACAGGTGAGCTTCAAAGCACTGCATAAACTCTGCCTCATCCTGCCAGCAGCCTGGTGGAGCAAGTAACTGTGGCTGGGAACGTGCTGCTGCAAACGGAACCAAAGAGATGGACAAGCAAAGGTAGAATTCAGAACAGTTGTACTGCTAAGCTGCGACTAGCTGAGGGAGAAAGAAAGTGCTGAGCTTTGCATTACCCATGTAGAAAGGTTGATTGTGCCTGTTGGCATCTTACTCTGTGCTTCACAGAGGGCATAAAATTTGAATGTCATTGTGTGCTATAAAATGGACTCTGTTCCAAGCAAAATGTGGTGGTGATTCAGACAGCCCATTAGTGCTGCTCTGGCCAGATATCAGAGATCGTTGCTTCTGCTGCTCTGTTTCTTTGCAGCGTAAGTCTACAGGTGATGAGCAGCAGGAAGCTTTGAAAGCAGCTTCCCCAGGGGAGCCACCACAGGCACTCAGTTACCATGCTGTGGGGCCTCTTTTGTCCTGGGATGGGGGGTTTCTGGGCTGCCTTTCATACTGCTGCTGCAGATGGAAGAAGGAGACAGTTGTTGACTGTTCTCTGTCCATTAATCTGGGCACTGCTTTGCAAAAGACTTAGCTTTTTTCATTTGATTTGAGACCACCAACAGTTAAGCTGTAGCTGACAGGCTCTTATTAGGTGGTATTTAAACAAGTTTTAATAGCTGTGTTCATTTGTCCCTTCTGGTACCTTTCCCTGTATGTCCAGTCTTAAAGACAGTAGTTCCCAGAGAGCTATGATGTACTTAGTCAAGCTGCCTGAATCATGCAAATATCAACATACATTTCTTTTTTTCTGTGCTTTCTGGTAGTGTTCAGGTGAGTTGGTGAATATTATGGTTTCACATACTTATGGCTGGTAGGGAGTTAGCAGTCCCATTGTAGAGACAGGAAATGAAAGCATGGAAGAGCTTTAGATTTTCCTACTGTCACACAGAAATCTGTGGCAGAAGCAGAATCCAGCTGTTACTGACAGCCCAGATTCTCTGTGAAAAGATTATCCTTCATTATTACATTTGGAGTGGAAATAGGTAAGGGTAGAGGCTTTACATGTTTTGGGTCACTTGGCAAGTGCACTTGTGGAGTCAGGACAGACCTCTTTTTAGAAGTAACTGGGTGAACACCAAGAAGGACAAAAAACGTAACTGAGACCAAGGATGTAGGTAACAACCAGGAAACCTTTGCCTAGAGTGGCCTATTCTCTTAGCTTTGCTGGCTACATCTCTATCGTGCTACAGATACCTATCTATCTATCTATTTATTTATCTATCTATCTATCTAATAACCATTGTTATTATATTATTATAGATACTATTATAGATAGCCTGAGCACTAACTCAGCAGCCGCACTTGGACAGAGCTGTAATACACTGAAGTATGATTTACTTTAGAACAAAAATAAATCACTCTCTAGCATTAGTTGCTTTAAGAAATGTTGCCTGAATAAGTGGCATGCTTTTGTGTGTATGGTCTGCCATCCCCTCTGATTGGACTAAAAAAAGCTGCACTGTGGGTCGTATTGTGCCTTGTCATAAGCAAGAATCTGACTTTATGTTATGCAAATGTATCTGGTGAAGTTGTTCCTTCTCATGTGTTTTTGAAGCTGTGAATTACACTTATATTTCATGAGGTGTAATCAATGAATTAGACTAATGGCGTGAAAAATGTTACTGTTAAATTAAAAACTGCCTTCTTATTTCTGCTAGAGCAATACAAAATAGCTCTCAGAAAAAGGAAGGTTCTCTTGCACAGTTTCCTGCCTCCAACTGTTGAAATCTGAGAAGCAGTTGAGTCAAAGTGTTGAAAAAGGAGACTCAGTGTATGCATTCTGGAGAGAGGGAAAGAATCTGACAGCTTCCTAGTAGGGGCTTTCCATACCCTCTGAATTGGAGAGGTGGAATTGCAATCTATGAAAACTGAACCTTCTAGCAGATCTTCTGTTTCCTATTTACTTATTTTTTTAACAGCCTTTTTAAAGGCAGTTATGTTGAAATACACTGTAATCTTGGTGAGAAGCCTTTATTCTGCAAGAACCAAATCCACAGAGAACAAAACGTATCTACTGCTGTGTAAGGTTGAATAATCATACATGCCTATAGAAGCAGTGGAAAGGGTGAGTTTTATAATGCAGAACATATATTTGTGCTCCAGTATTGTTTAACAAATGTTTGGCACATGGTTCAACAACACATTTTATATCAATGCACACTGATACAACAAATAAATATGCTACTGTGGATGTGTGATGGCTGCATGAAAATAAAAGGAATTCAGGATAATAAAACTTCATGCAGACATGACTAGCTCAGAAATAACTTTTCATTGTAAGAGAAAATTCAGAAGATAAACAGTGTTTTCCTATATGCAACCTGAAAGCACGAGGAAGGGAAAGGAAATTTTGTAGCAATTCTGCGATTCTGTGAAACCTTTTTGCTCTGAGGCAGGCAAGGCTGTTGAAACAAACTCCTGGATTTGGTATTTGGCAACTGATATCCCCATGTCAAACTATGGAGGGCCAACTGAATGGAGAAAGCAACACAAAGTCCATTGATAATTCTCCACTTCTAGTTCTGAGCTGCTTCTGGACTCTTCCCTGGAGAGCCAAACCTATGGTTTTCTGAGTCCGCACAGGCAGCTCACTAACAATGTTACAGTGTTTGTTTACCAGGCTGGCTCTATCTGCTTACTTTACCATAAACTCCACATTTTAAGTGTCAAGATGGGTGTTTAATAATCCTTATTCTTCCTCCTCATCAGCCCTTCCAGACTTTGTTCTTTCTCACCTACTGCATCTTCCTTCCTTGACCGATCCTATGGCAAAAACCGTAACACCTGTGTTAAGACTGGAGCAGGTGTGCAAATGTTTCAGGAAACTTTTTCGTTCCCTCTGAATTTGCTCCCTTATCTTACTTGTTCCCTACTATGATGTGACACTTTCTAGGAGTACATAGCTGTACTAAATGTTGTCATTAAGCACAGGTTTCCTCATGTTTCTTCTGTACTGGTTGGGATCAACTCAGTGGTGTTTAAGCAGAGCTTGCTTTTCAGTTACAGTCCCCCTTATTGCTACATTTCAGTTTGCACCTAATTTATCTGACTTCTTTCTCATTGTTGGAAAGAAAGGGTAAATGTTTTAGTGAGTGCTTTGCTGTGCCCCAGTCAGCTAGCAGTCAGGAGAGAGAGAACCCGGTTGATGCTCACTCTGTGTTGCTCTCAGACACTCCTGCTTGCAGCACTCCCATGGTACCATGGCGTGCCCGTTGCCAGCTTGCTGCCTGCCATCTTCTCCTCTGGGAGTCTTTAGGAGAATTCTAAGTTTAGTCCTGTGCTGATGATACCTGGGCTGCTTCCAAGAACAACACAGAACCGCTTCCTCAATTCCTAAAACTGACACAGAGAATGAAAACTAAGCAGGTTTATTTTTATTTCTAAAAAACTGCAGCTAAAGCAGCACTACTAGACTGTGTGGCCAGAATTTACTGTTTCAAATTGTGCCTGATAAGTGTGGGAGAGGGGGGAAGGGAGTGGGATGCCTAGATGATATTTTAAAGAGCAGCTATCAGCCATTTCTTGACACTGCTGTTAAGTTTTTGATTGAGTCATCAGAGCAAATGAATTCAAAGTGCAAGGTTAGTTTCTAGTAGAAGTTCATCAACCAAAACACTTATTTATGGAACATGAAGAAAAGCGCAAACCAGAGTTGAGATGCATTTGCAGAGCTGGATGTCCATGCATATAGCTGAAAAGGAGAGAGCTGGGGAGGGCTTGTGGCTGCAATAGCAGGAAAAGCTGCAGATCCCACCTGAACTGTATTTGCTAGAATATGTGTCACACTGGTGGGAGCTGAGGGAAGCTTCCTGCCTGCTTTGTGTTTAGTAGGTCTGTAGTCTGTAAACAGCATGACACACCTGAGCATTTCTAATGTGCAGGATATTCTGTTCACTGTCACCTTCAGGGTATTTGTATTAAAGCATGAAATGCAAATGAGAAATTCTATTGCGCAGTACCATGGTATTTGCAACAGCCACCTGCCTGCTTTTCCTTGTTGATTCACTTTCAGTGATCTGGTAGTCCCAGTACCTCTCAGCAGTCTTGGATTTGAAAGGAAGGTAAATGCTTGTGTTCTTATCCTGGAAGCATTTGCCCTACTTTCATGATAATCAGAAAATCATGGCAGTGTTGTCCAAATAGCTCTCCCTTGGGTTGCATCCTTTCAGGTCCTGCCTCTTTACTGAATAATGAAGGAGTAGTAGTTTGGACTGTATATGCTCCCTTCAAGCCAGAATGCCTCACCTGTATGTTCTCACAATTCAGCACTAAAGACTGCAGTGCTTTCTCTTGTAAAAGGATTTGTTGATGCTGGAATAATCTCTTCCTGAACTGTTGAGTGGCCTAGCACTTAAATCTGGGAGATTTTGTAGCCACTGAAGCAGAGTACAGAACCAAAATTTGTAATTAGCAGTAGAAACTGGACCCCTCTTTTTTAGCACTGCAGCTATTCTACTGCTTAGTTGTTAATTATGTTAACAAAATCTATCCTGTATCAATAAAATTTCAGTGTAACCATCTGTCTCTACAAATTGATACCAGTTCAGGTGTCTGTAACCTCAGAACTGAGCGGTCTTTCTTAGTATTGTCCCCAGTCATTGCTAATTAGAACCTTGTTTTGCAGAAATGGCTTGGTGTATGACTATGTAGGTGCTATAATTCCAGCCAGCAGTCACAAGAAGAGAGATGATTTCAGGGAAATGAATAATCAAACTGGTTGTGATGAGTGCGAGGCATTCACAGTAGATGCTCAGTTAGCCACCAGAAACAAGCTGAAAAAGCAAATAGGAAAGTACTAAACACTTCGTTTTTCTGGCACTTCAGGATGAGATGACCTCAAGTTTGGGCCTTACCACAAAGAAAGCCCTTATGATCTTGAGAGACGAGTTGACAACACTGCTGGAAGGACATCAGAAGGAACGGAAAAAAGTGACTTCATGGAAGGTGAGACACCAAACAGCACTAGGTTGGATGCTCATTTTCCCCTTCTCAAAGCAAAGTTGAGGATTAACTGAAAGTTGGCTGCATTTCCTTTTTGACTGCTGCTGCTGCAAAGTTTCCAGGTTTAGAACTGCCAAAGTCTTTGGGAACAAAGCAAGAAATTACCTAGGGGTATATTTCTCAGCACTTTTCTTGTGGATGCTGGTGTTCTACAGGAGCTTAGTTTCAACTATGAAGGATGTAACATCTTCTAGAGCCACTAATGTACAGGAGAGCCATATCAAGTGGAGAGAAAGAGAAGTGGAACTCAACAGTCTTCCCTTGTCCTCCATGTTTATCTGGTACATGCATTGAATACAAAGTGCTAGTGTTTATTCACTCTACTTAAACATATTTTTTTCTAGATAGTGACAATGGAGTAGCCTGGCACAGAAGTCTCTTCATTCTTCCAAGCAAGACTAAAGATAGCAATGCTCACCCAGACTCCCCAGCTGAACAACCTTTAGTGCTGTAGCATTTGCATAACTGATCTGGGATGCTCTCTTTAATTCTAAGGGGATTTACAAAGTTGTGTTCACCTTGGAGTGTCTGTTAACTGCTGTCTTTATCTTTCCTCTACTTTTTTGAATACCTAGCTTTGAATTTTATGAATGCTGTCTGCTGCTTTCCTTTTGTAGGAGGCATGGAGAAGCAGTTTTTTGTACCATGGAAACCGTTGCTCCTGTTTCCACTGGCCTGGTGCATCTCTGATGCTTCTGGCAGTGGTGTTGCTGCTGTGTTGCTCTGGGAGCCAGCCACAGGGAAAGTAAGCAAAAAATCATTTACTGGTTGACTGAAGCAGATGGTAATTTTGCATCCTCTTGACTCTGTGTAAAGCTGATGTATCATCATTGTCCCTCATTCTGTGCAATTGTGAACGTGTTCATACTGGTAATTCTTCCCTCTCCCTTCCACAAAACTTCAACTAACTTAATTCTAGTTCTAATCGACCCATATCGACCCTAATCATTCTCTCTTGTGGAGAGAATGAGATTTTCTTTCTACAGTTTTCCTAGATCTTAAAAAATCCTGAGACATTAGAATTGTTCAGGAGGGTTTTGATACTAGAGAAGTTAGTGACTCATAAGAGAAACTAGTTTATGGTCACAAGAGCCATAACCTGCTTGACTGTGTTTGTAAGGGTGTTTTTTAATTGAGACAGGTCTTTTCAAACTTTCCTGGTGGCGTTATCTTGAAGAAGTGTGGCTGTGGCTTCTCTGCTTTTCTTTTTTAAACATGAGTCTTTGGGATGTAGGAATAAACAATTGAACAGGTGTGCATTTATCTCTATGGGTGGCCAGCAGCATATTCTGCTCATTTACTCAAAACTCAACTGCTTTCTGCTTTCTTCTGTTTCTGCTGTGCGAAGCCAAGGTGCTGAAATAGTTAATGCATTGGCACTCTTCCTCCTTCTCCTCTTGGATCTCTTCATGATTGGACGTCAAGAGAGGCTGAAGTGTAAAGAGGTGGAGAGAAGACTTCAGATGATCATTGATAAGATAAATGGTGAGGCCTCATTAATCTGTCTGTCATTTGGATTTGTATTCCCACGACATTGGATTTTTCTCCAAAACTTGATCATGTGTTATTAATTGAGCTTACTAGCCTTGCCCTATGTTACGCAGAAACAGGCTGTGATAGCTGTGTCCTATGTCATGCCTGTCCTGTGGAATCATTATTTTGAGCTGTGGTGTGGCCATGCGCTTCCATCTGGTATGCTACCAGATAGGTGTGTGTTATGTCTGTGCTTTGGAGTAATTCAAATCCTAAATTTCTTACAAAAGTATCTGCCTTGCTGCAGATGATGAAAGAAGAAAATGTGAGATTGTGCTACAACATAAAACGGAAGGAAATAAATTGCTGTACATAAGCATCTTCTCAATGAGAGCTTTTGAACTCAAGGTGGCAGTTCATTTCAGTGTGGCACCTTTAAGGACATTTCTTAGGTTTTTCACTGGACGAGTATATATTTAATGTTACCACGTGACAGTGTTTAATTGATTATACAGGGTGGAGGGGGGGAAGGGAAAGCTAACAAGGTTAAAGTTCATGGACATGGACCAATCTTAGCACTGGAGGGCCTATAGCCACTATGAAATATAAATTGATGTATGATTGGCCTCTTCCAAATTTTATCACATAATTCCTTCACACTGTGTGCTTTCAGATACACTTAGCAAAGAGGTGAAATGGCCAGACTCCATGTACCCTGACCTCCATATGCCTTATGCCCCATCCTGGTCCCTTCATTGGGCATACAGGGATGGTCAACTTGTGAACCTGCCTGTAAGCCTGTTAGTAGAAGGAGATGTCATTGCTTTGAGGCCAGGACAGGAATCATTTGCTTCTCTGAGAGGAATTAAGGTAAGTTGCTTGTCTTAGTTTCCTGGCCTTTCCTTTTCTTATTAATACTCTAAATCTCAAAGTATGGATGATGGGAATGTTTGATTCTTCTGACCTTTTAAATGCTTTGAAACTCCAGTTCAAAGAAAGTGCTTTGTTAGACAGCTCTATCTTCCCTAAAAACACTCAAACCCAACAGACTGGAGACACTAATGTGATACTGAAGCACTGTATCTCCATCATCCATCTTCCAGGTCAAGGGTTAAGTGTAATGTGCTGCTGATTTAAGTATAATAAATCTGTCCAGTACGATGATATGATATACAGTCCCTCTACTTTGTCTTATTTTTTATGTGGAGCAGTAAGTTTGTCTGTTTTGACCTTCTTACTACTGATTTAGTATAAAAGAAAGTAGCATAAACTACCTGGAATAGAAGTACATTAGCAAATCAATTAGAAGATCTATGCAAAGAGTTTGCTGCTTAAAGAAGCTCAGCAACAGTTTAAAGCTTGAAATTTACTTACCTTTGTTGTTAATTTTGACTTTTACTCCAAATGCTTTCAAACTAAGACAGCAAAGATTTCGGTTAGATATTAGAAGGAAGTTTTCACTCGGAGGGTGGTGATGCATTGGAACAGGTTGCCCCAGGAGGTTTTGGATGCCCCATCCCTGGAGGCATTCAAGGCCATGCTAGATGTGGCTTTGGGCAGCCTGGTCCACTGCTTGGCAACCTAGCAGGAGGGTTGAAACTAGATGGTTTTTGAGGTTCTTTTCAACCAAGGCCACTCTATGATTCTATGAAATGCTAAAATTCATGAATAACCAGGTGTGTTTTGCTACTTCTGAAGGCCCACAAGCATTTAATTTTGCTTCAAGTTTGAAGCAACAGTTTAACTAATGAATTTTTGAGAGCTGAGAGAGAACTGTGACAAATGTGTATTATCACTTGTGGTAGGAGAAATCCTGCTGGACTCAACCTCCTGTCCCCAGAAACGGGATTCCACTGAGGCCCCAGATGAGCAGCTTTTGGCTCTCTGAATTTTTTTTCTAGGATGATGAGCACATAGTTCTGGAGCCAGGAGATCTATTTCCACCTTTCTCACCTCCACCCTCCCCAAGAGGAGAAGTGAAAAAGGGACCTCAGAACCCTCAGCTGTATCGTCTGTTCCGTGTCTTGAAAACTCCAATAATTGATAATGTCAGGTGGGTTAAATACTGTGCTCAATGGCTTCACAGCTTATCTTGGTCCTTGCTGATGCCTTGTATCAGGAAAAAAATGAAATTTTACCAATCCAGCCCAGGAATTTCCAAATATGCTTTGCTGTGTCTTCTGTATTACCTAGGAATGCCCTAACTGTAAGATTCTTACTGTTTGTCTTCACTTGTCCTCCTTAGCTGATAGTCTAGACTGATATTTAAAAACATATGCATGCTAAGTATTACTGCTCATTACTTTCCAAGTAAATTTCAACAATGCAGGGAAGTCATAGATTTCATGCATTTGATGGCAGAAATTTGTGACCCCATTGAGATTATTTTAAATCTCAGAGATTGAGACTGAGGATATAGATTAATTGATAAATCTCTGGCCAGTGGTATCTTCTGTAACTCAGAGGCCAGGATCTTGAGGTAATTATAAAATCACTGCATTCATTTCAGCTTGAAAGCAAGCCACATTTTGGGGGGAAAAAAAAGATGTTCTCTTTCTTAAAGCTGTTGAGTCTTGGTTTCTCTTTCAAAGGTTCCCCTTCTTAGCAAAGGCTAAACAGTTTCTTATCTGAGAAAAGTGCAGGGCTAGGATCTTGTTTCCTAAAATTGCAAGCTGTTTTCCATTTTTTCAGGTGGTGTCTGGAAATGGCATTGTCACGTCCTGTGACAGCCCTGGATAATGAGCGATTCACTGTACAGTCTGTGATGTTGAAATATGCTGTCCCTATTGTACTGGTAGGTCTCATTTCAAGCCTTTGGTATTGAACACAGCTGTGTTTTGTTAATAAAGGTGAAGAATTTGCAGCCATCAACAAGAAATCGTGGCCCAGCTCTAATTCATGCAGCTGACGTGTACCTTCAGTAGTACAGAGGAGCAAAGATACTAAGCTACCCATCTGTGAGAGTGAAGAACTGCAACAGCAGACCAAGTGTATCCTTCAGATTTTTTTTTCCCAGAGCTGAGAATGTTATAAGGAAGCAAAAACTTCTTCATTACAAGTACTAGTAGTTTGCTGATGGTGTCAATTCTGAATTGCAGGCTGGCTTCCTAATCACCAATGCTGTGCGCTTCATTTTCAAAGCTCCTGGAATTGCTTCTTGGCAGCATACTCTTCTTCAGCTACAGGTAAAGAGTGTGCTGAGATCCACTACACCTTTCCACCCCAAAGCACTGCTGTGGCAATTCCCTCCATCACCAACTTGCTTCATTCCATGACAACATCCTGTACATCCTGTACGCACTGCCTTGTGCACATCAGAGCACAAGAGCTCTCAGTGGTGAAGAACAATAACACTACTCTGTCCATTCCTTTTGTGCTGTTCTTTGTTTTCTCTTCCTCTCTCGCCGTGTATGTTTATATCCATATCTGTAAATACACATATATACGTGCCTATATGTATGTGGTATGGTTTTCTTTTAAACGTTAAGAGCTTATGCCAAATTCAGCAAAAAAAACCCAGCTACGAGTTGATGCAATTTATTCATAGCCTTCTTCATTACAAACTCTTAAGGGTATGTGCGTCTCCCCTTCTGTGCTTCTCCCTGTATTGTGTTGCTTTCAGTGCAAGCTGTCTGCGTACTTCCTGCTGTTGCCTTTTACCAGTCCACTCTGGTGGAAAAGAGTTTATATGACAGGTGTAACTTCTTGTTGTCTCTGTGCTTACTTGTGATTGGAGGTTTTATTTTTTCAGGTGAATGGAGTTCTGCCCATCCTCCCGTTGCTTTTTCCTGTTCTGTGGATTCTTGCAACAGCCTTTGGAGAAGCCAGAGTCTTGGCCCAGATGAGTAAGGCCTCATCCACCTCACTGGTAGGTATCTGTCCACATCAAACCATTGCAGAGAAAGGAGAAGTAGATGAGAAGGGCTCTATGAAGCAAGCACAGTGTATTCAGCACATAATCAAAAAAACCTGTTGGATCTTTGAGTGTCCTGGCTAGGTCATTTCCCTGCAGCACCACAGCTTTTTCTTGCACAGATGTTTCAGTTTTTCAGCTGGCCTACAGATACATTCTATATCCCAAGGGTGATAGGAAGATTCAATGATTCCCTAAATCTCTTCAGAGCATGTGCTTTTTATCAGCTAAATTTAATCTGTCATAGGAGTCAACATGGAGATGAATGTCACATGGTGGCCATAACTAGAGAACATTAAGCCATGGAGAAGGAATGTGATACATAAGATCCTTTGTTATAACCTGCGGGCTGAGCAACCCTTTCTTGAGGCTCTGGGGCTTGGCTTGCAGACCTAGCCTTGCCAGTGTCAGAAAGTAAGGCAAATTTCTGGTGACTGTTCTGGTTTGGCAAATGGAAATTTGGTAGTCTGATGGATGTGTGATCCTGAACTGGATATGCTGATGGGTGTCTCTTATTTTCTCCCAGTGGCAACATTGGTGAGGTGCACTGTGCTGTTTGTTGTCTCTGCTGATTTCTGCTAAGCCTGTGCTTGAACGAAGTTTAACTCCTTCATGTTCTTCCTTGGCCTCTGTGGTCCTGGTTCTGTTTTCTACTCTTTGCCCTATAGGTTGTACACGACTAAACTGGGAGGATGAACTCATGCTTCCCCCTCCAATGGCATATTTGCACCTTTACCATCCCTTTTCAATGTTTCCTCCTTTCTACATTTTCCATCCATTCTCAGCATCACTTTGTTACTATCTTTGGAACCATCTCTTGCCCTACACATCTTGCTTTTTGGTTGGGAAAAGCCAGAACTCCTTAGCTTCCATACTTCATCATTCTCAACATATCCATTTTCTTTGTTACTCACATTTGCACCTGTGCTGAGTTTTTTTGTATCTTCTTGTACAGGCAACTCATTCTGTCCAACCAGCTTTTTCTGTGACATCTCAAACTCAATCCTCCATCTTTGTTGCTGCAGAAAAATCATTGTAGTGTGCCTTAGTCATTCTCACTCTTCACTAGGGAAGTGTACTTTTGGCATCTCTATTTCACTCTTTCATTCTCTCTCTTCTGTTCAAAATTTAAGACCTTCTTCCTTTCTAGTCACTTGACCTGTGTGACACATCTCTCCACCTTCTGCTCCCTCCCATCACATTGAAGCTCTTTCATTTTCTTTTCTTTTTTAAGGCCATAGGCAACTCTTATGACCAGTTAGTCATAACTGCATGGCAGATACCACTGGCTGCCTCAAAGGAGCCCCTGCCTCAAGTTTCATTGCTATGGTTGGATTATAACAGCATTCCTTTTAGAAGGGGATTTGATGTTGGTTTGAAAATATTCCTGCTGCTTTTGACAGGTTGTTTCAGTAATGATTTAGTGTTAAAAATTGACATTCATATGTGAGTGTTTTTGTAGAATCTGATTTCCAGCACTTGAAACTTAACCTCCTTTGTCTCATAGATTTAAGAACAAACCAATAAAGTTTCTGTTCTGTGGTAACTGCTCACAATTCCTTTTACCATCTCTGATTAAGTAAGCTTTTTAAACACCTTGAGTCACTGCAAGCATATCTGCCAATTCTCTAATATTTGTTTTGGCTTTCCTCTTAGCTTTCTCCAATGCTTCAGGATCACTGTAGAATTATGAATCTCCACAACCCATAAATATTCCAGTAGCAGTTGTGCTTGAGCTAAACTTGAGAATAGTTTGAGCTTTATGTTCCTTTGTTAGTACAACAAAAGATCACAGTAGATTTTTTTAGCTGTCGTCTTAAATGGCCAGCTTTTTTTTCAGCAAATAATTTGCAGAGTTACTGCTTTCTAAGCTGGAGTCTAATTTTTTTAGCCCAAATTTCATATTTTCTGCTAGGAATGCAGATTTATTTTTGAAGTGTTGCGCTGCATATTTTTGCTTGTTTTCTGAGCAGTCCATACTGTTTTGTAGAAGCAATCTGATCTCTTTAATATCTGACCCTTCCCCAGTCTTTGTATAGTATACAATCTCTGTCAGTAATGACTTTGTGTTTTATTTCAGGGTGTTAACAAAACACCTAGAATTTATCCGTGGTTGAGCTAGTAACACATCCTACTGCAAATGATTATTTTGTTATCAGAAAAATGAATTTCTAATATATTTAGATACGAACCTTCTTATTCTGGAATTACTCTAGCTTTTGTTTGAAAACTAATAAAGCCTTTTTTATCAAGTCAGAGTTCCAAGTGTGCTACATCAACAGTATTACTTTTATCAGTCCAGTTTGTTATTCCATCCAAAAATATCACAATGATCATATACTTGTGTTGTTTGGTGCTGATTGTATTATTCCACTTCTGTTCTTTTAGTATGTGTTTTATATCACCTGCTCCATTATGCTGTTTGAAATCAAAGTCAGTCTGGGCTCTTGTGGTAACTTGATGTGTTCTTATCCTCATTAGGCATTGTCACCACATTAGGTTTCATCCACTGCATTAGGTCTTAAATCCATGCTTCAAACCTTGAAAAAGTAAAAAGTCAGCAGTAGCAGTCACAAATTTGTCTATTTTAAAAACAAATTTAGTTTCAGTAGCTAGTGTTAAAATGGAAAATATCCCATAGTCATTATACGATATGATCATATCACTGAATAATGAGTAATGATATTTAACACATCTGGTTTGCTTGCAATATCATTTGCAATTCTACTGTTTTCATCAAACAATGGATTAGTAAACTTGTTCTTAGTTTTTGTTAATTTTTATTTCTGTTTTCACTCCTTCTCAAAACCAGACATTATTATTATTTTTACTCTGGGATTGTTGCTTGTTAAATTTAAATAAAGTATTGCTAACTATTCCTAGTTTCCTAGTTATCCTTCATAGTTTTCAGTTTAAATTATTTCTAACCGATCTGTGTTGGCTTTTTACAGATGTTTAAAGCTGATTTCTTCTTAAGTGACAGATACATGCATTATTATTTGGGTTATTGTTTTTTTTTTATATATACAAATTTAATTGCCATGTTCATTTATGCCTATAAGTCTACTTCAATTTAAACTTTTTTTTTTTTTCAAAATTACATCTTCTGTGGAATTCTTTTATGCTGGATGCACAATTTTTCAGTTAGTAAATTTTGCAGTGTAATTCCAAGAGCCCCATGGTAGTGCTCTGCAAAAAATAATTTCTTTTTGTTTCCTTTTCAAATCCTATTCACATCACCTCATTCCTTCAGCAAGTACCTGCTTTTGCAGTCACTCTCATCTAGTTCCTTTCTTTTAACCGATCTGTGTAGTTAAGAAACAAGTCAGTCAATACTGACTTTCTATCCTAAAATAACCATCCAGGAAGATGTTCTGCTGGGTCTAATTGCTATTATTTTCTCTGTAGACTTTTAGATAACAGCTGTGTCTTCTGTGATGTACCAGCGCCAAGCATTTTGACTGTGCTTCACAAGTAGATAATGCCATAGTCCATTAAAGACTTAATTGCTTTAGAGAATTATTGATCTGTCTTGGTATAGTAGTTCTCATAGGGCAGGACTTTTGCTTTCTTCTCTCTAAAGGCACAGTACCTAGGGAAGGATCTTCTTCATGACATATTTCTGAGCATAATTATAGTAACTGGTCTCTTCTCTTGCTGCAGCTTGCTAAGTTTTCAGAGGACACTCTCAGCAGCTACACAGAGATGGTATCTTCTCAGGTACTATTATTATGAATTGTTTTCTTACATCTTTCATCTTCACAATATCCTTTCCCTTCCTTTCTGATCCCCTGCTTGTTCCTAAAGCCGTTTTTGCTTTAGCCAGTTGTCTGTTGTCACACTTTTTCTGCTTTAATTTGCTGTGCATGCAGGTTGCATGTCTTTCCCCTACACCTGCCCATGTAGACACTACTCTACTGACCACAAATTGAGGCACCTTTGATACTGAGTATACAGCTGTGCTTTTCTGAATATTGCAAATAATTTGAAATCAACTTTTTCTGTTCTGAAGAAAGTGCCTCTTTAAAGACTAATTCCAGGAGTAAAATAAAATTTTTATGGTGTGCGTCAGAAAGAAGGGAAGTAATTTACTTGTACCAGAAACACCTACTTCTCCAAGCCAAAACTAAAGAACAGTGAGAACAGGGGTCTGCATCAAGACCAAATGTGAAAAGGGGAGCATAGGATGTTCATGCAAAAAGTCTGATATTGTTTCAGAGGCTTGTTAATGAGCTTTAGCACACTACTAATCCTTTAAAATCTGGGGCAAATAAACATTCAAAGGAGATGTTTTCTGGGGGAGGAACTGCATCTGGTTACTCTGTAAATTGCATCACCCAGATTAAACAGGTAGGTGGAGGAAAGACACTTCACTACCTGTTCTGGCATTAAGATTCCCATTTCCGTAAGGAAGCAGATGAACTCCAAAAGCAATTAAAAGTTCTGCATACTGTAAGAATCAATTTATGTCCCCTCGCTCCTAGCTGCATAGAGGAGTGCACGTTGAGACACATGCTTTCTTTGTTGAATATTTTATTGTTTTTCTCTGCCAGTTCATCATTTAACTGAGCTATTTTTCAGGTATTGAAACGGGATTGATTTGAGCTCACCTTCCCATTGTAAAAGATCTTCTTCTTTTCTTTTGCACCCATGTAAAAACTTTGCTTGCAAGAAAATGATTGAAATGAGTGTTGTTTTTTTTCCCCTCGTGTTAGCTCTTGCAGTGACAGCACTCTAGAGCAACAGCTAAAAAGCAAAAAAAATAACATTGTAAGGCAAACCTGTTTTTTCTGGCTTTAGTTATACACAGAGAAAAGTCTAGAGTTTGAATTGATTCCTGCCATCCAGGCCCCCTCTGAAATGTTTTTATGTGAAAGATATAGGGTGCCACCATGACATTTGAATTTTGCAAATTATCTCCGTCCTTCCATTTATTGCTACATCGATATGCTTCATTTATAACGATGCAGTAGTCAGCCCACCTCAACTTCATTTCCAACTTTGTCACTTCCCCAGTGACTTTACCCAGTTTGCAGTGTGATTATCTTAAGCGTAAGGCAGGGCCTCACATTCCTTACTCCCAGGGGACAAGAGGAAAAAATACCAAGAGGTACCAGCTAACTTAGTCCAGATGAAATCCCTTCAGAATTTCTTCCTATGTTTTTGGATAAGCAAAGGTAGTTTCAGTGAATTCTCAATTCAGCAATCAAAATTTCTGTTGGTATCCTTTGTGGGAAAGGAATGCCTTCCCTTGAGAACAACAGCACCATATCAGTTAACAGGTACTCACAAAGACTGATGTTTATCTTACAGTGTATCACTGTGTTGAAGCAGAAAGCAGGTAATGTCATACTTCTTCCTTCTCTCCCCGTCTTCTCTGAATGAGTCTTTAATTAGATGATGTTCTGTGCTTCCCTTGGCAGGAAATGATACGCTGTATCTGGAGCCACTTCTTATGTGTTTTAAAAGGCAAATCTCCAACACTGAGCTTCACCTCCAGCTTGCTCCACAGTCTGGGATCTGTCACTGTGAGTACTGTTGGGCTGTCAGGAGAAGCCTTAAGTAGATGCTTCGTTTGCATCGATCATGTAGTCCTTGCCTGAGCACAAACTATTAGTAATCATGATGGATGGGAATTGATACCCCTCAGGTATCTTGCAGAAAAATCTTAAAGCTATCATGTCTAAGCAGCTTACTGACAGGCTAAAACAATAGTGAGAAATACTCTTTGCCATCCAATATGATACCAGTATGTTCTACAATCTTCTCCTGCTAACTCTTGAAACAGGTTCATTAGTTGCTTCCTTATCATGGGTTTCATGCCTGATTTTGCAGTCCTAAGATAAAATTGGTATTAAACAACAAATCAGTCCAGGTAGAATGGGGAAATATCAGATGCTGAAGATTCTTAAGATAGAAGGTTGATGAAGGAGAGACTTATCTGGCCTCCTACATGTTTATTCAACTTGATGATATTTGCAACTGTGTGTGAAGGCTTAGATGTTTTTTTCACTAAAATTTTGCATTCTTGGGGGTGTTGTGGGACGTTCTAGGTGCTCTGCTGTGTAGACAAGCAGGGGATTCTCTCCTGGCCAAATCCTAGCCCAGAGACTGTTCTGTTCTTCAGTGGGAAGGTGGAACCACATCATGATAGCCATGAAGATCTGACTGATGAGCTCTCTACACGGTCCTTCTGCCACCCTGAGGTGGACGATGAGGTGAGGGATATGTAACCCACAATGCAACATGTTAGTTGTAAGCATAGTATGACTGACATACACAGTTTGGTATTACAGAAGGGTCTCTTTGCTTGTGCAGAAGTCTTGTGACCATAGTTCTTTGCTTATAAGATTAAGAATCTATGAGGATGAGATCCTCTTCTATAGGAGTCATAAAAGAGCATTTTTTCTTCCCTTTCTCTCTGTCCCCACTTCTGCACATTTTGCATATTAATCAAAAGTTGTTCATGTTCAACTGCTGAATCACCACTGTTCATTTTGTTGGTATTTTGCAGCCCCATGAAAGAGATGCTTTGCTCTCTGGCCCTTTGGCAGACACAGTCCATGTGACTAATGAGCAAGAGAGGAACAATTGGTCTAGTGACCCTGCAAAGGCTCCCGATGCCCATGCCCACCGAAAGCCAAACAGTAGAAGCAAGCATCCCTCTGGTTCCAATGTGAGTTTTAGCAAGGACACAGAGGGTGGAGAAGAAGAACATACTCAGGTAAGACATATAGAAGGGGCACACAATTAGTCTTTTGTAGATCTACAAGATAGACGACCCTGTAGAGTCTTCTATTTGCAGAATTTGAGAGTTCTCTGAGGGATTCTGGGCTCAAGCTGTAATCACTGCAGCTAACTAGAATTTGTTGGACCAGATTGCTGGTGACACTGAGGTGCTGGCTTGTGAGGCTGAAGACTTTGTATGTGACTACCACCTTGAGATGCTTAGCCTGTCCCAGGACCAACAGAACCCCTCTTGCATCCAGTTTGATGACTCCAACTGGCAGATACACCTGAATTCCCTCAAGCCTCTGGGTCTGAATGTACTGCTCAATCTCTGCAATGCCACTGTGACAGAACGCCTGTGCCGATTCTCTGACCATCTCTGCAACATAGCCCTCCAGGAAACTCACAACGCCGTGCTGCCTGTCCATGTGCCCTGGGGCCTCTGTGAGCTTGCCAGGCTAATAGGTAAGAAGAATTCAATTTGAATCAGTGCTACCACTTAATCCTTAGAAAGGATATGCAAAATATTTTCTCAGTCCTAGTTTCTGAGAAGGTAGAATTAAGGAAAAAATGTCATCAAGGATATTTCCATCAAGCCCTGTCTAGGTTTGGTATTTTCCTGGCTCGAATCTGCAGTTTTTGTTCGGGGACAAGAATAGCTGCTAATGGAAAGATAGATGCTCTGTCTTTACCACAGTGCTTTACCATGAGAGTGGGTATAAATGATGTTGTGTACCTCTGCTAATTTTATAGATGGGAAAACTGAAGCACACAGGAGGTAAGATGCAGCACTAGAATTACAATCTGAAAGCTTTTGAATTCAATTCTGTGCTTGTTCTTCACAGTTCCTTTCTTTAGTGAATCAAAATCATAAAAGCTGTAATTACTAATAAATTCTAGTCCTTCTGAATATTTTTCATCATAATCTTGGAACATCTTGGCGTAGGTGCTCTGTGAGCACAAATTAATCTACCTATTGCTGGGGATAGTCAAAATGAGAGCAGGCATGATAGATGGCACAGAAGTAGGAGATAGGAATATTCTTTTGCTTTGGTTAGTGTCTAATTTTTTCCTCATATTCATGTTACAGGTTTCACACCAGGTGCCAAAGATCTTTTCAAGCAGGAGAATTATTTGGCCTTGTACCGCTTGCCAAGTGATGAGATGGTTAAGGAGACAATGCTGGGAAAGCTTTCATCAATCACCAAGAGAAGACCACCCTTGAGTCACATGATTAACCTGTTCGTGAAGGACACCACGACCAGTAAGGCTGCCTCTTCCTTTGTGTGTCTACCTAGGTTGGGAAGACCTTTTTCCCAGAGAAACTAAAAAATATTCAGGAGCAGCTTGGAGACTCCAGCTGGTGATAGCCTTGCTCTGCCTATGATCAGTACAGAAAAGTTCAACAAACCTAAATGATCAGTGCTATGGAATACTGAAAGGGGGAATTCTTCTCAGCCCTGGATCATTTCAGGATCATGATTTTTTTTTTTTTTAATTGTCTTAGCATTTGACAAGTCTGTTTTCTGAGACCAGATAGCAGAGTAGTACAAAGTAGATTTTGAATAGTCTTCATTTTGTTGGTGAAACTGATACTGCACAGGTTTGAATATTTCTCAGGGTATTAACTAGTGATGCTTATCCTTCTCATAACACAAATCATAAATCATTATTAGTAAGTTGTACAGTATAGTATATTACATGTTCTATTTCTATATTACATTCTAATAAGAAATCACAGAAATCTCAGACAAACCCATGATGATCATGAATGAAGCCCCTGAGGCCATACTGGTTTCTCCACTCCTACTCCTTCCTATTCCAATAGGAATGGGCTAGGATGGAAAGGATGTGCAGATGGGCGCAGTGAGGTCTAAAAGCACCTTAGCAAGATTTAACAGTTTGCCAGCAGAGGTCTTAGTCTCTTAATAATACCCTAAATTGACTGAACTCAGCTTTCTGAAATTGGAGTTTGTTCAATATTGAATCTGAAATACAGCTACTATATTGGCCCAAGATTTACCAAGTAAACGGGCTTCTCTTACTTGTTTCTTCTTAAACTTGTATCTTAATTTATGTAAGAGCTTTTTTGTTTGTCCCTATAGCTGCTATCTTGCCTTTGTGAGCAAGAATTTTTCTGATGCTGATACTTAGTGTAGATGAAAACCTTCAGTGTTGCCTCATTTCAACTCCTTATCCTCAATTTTAAACGGTTTAGTTCATAGGCTGGAGCTCAGACGAATACATGTGTGACCTGGATTATGCTGTCTAGAGTAAATTTGAAGGGGACTTTTGCCAGCAAGGTTATTTAACCACTGGGGCACTTCTCATGTGATAGTTTTGGTCCTTGAAACTTTCTAAAATGTGTGCAACCAGAAATAATGGATTATGCAGATATTATTGCATGAAATCAAATGATTGTGTTTTCACTGAGTCCGACCAGAATACTGTAACTAAGCTCTTCTGATTCAGTATTTGTGAAGAAATCTTTGATTCCACTCACTCCCATGTACATAAGGGATGTACATAAATTGACGACTGTAGCAGAAATAGAAGGTATGTTCCCTTAGTATACCATTGAAATACATGCCTTGCCATCTGGCAGCATTCTTCCCAAATCGTTAGTAACCACATGGAAATGAGGGGCTCATGTGAATTCTCAGCAAAGTAAAATGGCATGATACTGCCTGATTTCCCTTGCTATAGCTGCATTCTTAGCTTCTTTTTGCTCTCATTGGCTCAGCTCTAGAGGCCTAGTTCTTTCTAATGAGTACCAACACTCATGAATGGGTAGCTCTCTTCCATGTCCTGTTCATCTGTTCTCTCCTTTATGCCAGAGAAATTTTGTCCTTCATGTTCATGATTTAGAGAAGAAAGAGGCTGAGCTAACATTGCTGGCAATGACAGCTGAATGAGTGCCCTCCAGTTTATAGGACATGATGTCACTGTCATCTGCCCCTTAGAGGAACTGTTGTGTGGCGTGCTGTTGACACTGAATGGAAATCATATGGGAAAAGATTGCAGTTGCTGTCAGATACAAATGTAGGTGTGTGCACTCGTGTTATGTGCATGTTCTTGCTCTCTGTCCGGGGCATAGACATTCCATGAATGTCTTATTCTCTTTTTCCCAGCAAAGACTATCTGACCATAGGACCTAAGTGGGAAGGATTGTTTATGCAATAAAATTAATGCCATACAAGTACTCCTTCATGTCCCTGAAACAGGCTCCTTCTTTCATGCACAGTTCCTATTTGTCTTGAAGGATTGTTACTCTGATAAACTTGGTGCGCAATGACTCTTTGTAGCAGAAAGTAGAGAGCTGCTATGTTCTGGAAAATTCTCTGGTATTCCTGAAGGTCCCTTCCATATTTGTGCAAGTGTGTTTTCTTGGCTCTTGATTTCAGTAGCTAGCTTGAGCATTTCAGCAATGCTTATATTCTTATGAGAAGATACATACAAAAATATCTTTTTTTCTGTTCCATTGCATGCAGGAGCAAGATTTTTTTCCCACCTTCTGTAGGAGTGGGATTGTTAATACAATATAAAAGAATAGAAACTGATCATCTGCCTCACATTTTATTGCAGCCTTGTTCGAACTTCCAGTTGGACAAGTAGCAGCTGAATACATTATTCAATCTTGAATAATTTCTTGAAGGGGAACTGAGGACTTTATGTAGGAAAACATGAACCTGGAGTGGATCAAGGAACCACTATTTTAACAAAGGAGCAGTTAGTATGATCTCTCTTGCCTGGGATCCTGTATGTGTGTTGCTGACTCATTGTTTACCTGTATTTCAGGTACTGAGCAGATGTTTTCACATGGGACAGCCGACATCATCCTTGAAGCCTGCACAGACTTTTGGGATGGTACTGATATTTACCCCCTCTCTGGCTCTGACAGGTGAGCATCCTTGTCATTTGATGCATTTAGGGACTGCAGTTAAATTGCAGCGGGAACCCGGTTGCTCTGTATTAAAAGCTATTTAATAGAAGCTTGAAGTAGGTTATGAACATAAGTTGTCTCTGCTTATAATTAATTGTTATAATTATAGCAGTATAAGAGATGAGATGTCAAGAAGTAACCTGACTGTATGACTAAAACATTTCGTACTGTATCTGTTGACATAGTATCCTCTTAGAAGTGGACCATGACTGTACCATGTAGCAGAATGATGAATTCTAATCAGATCATGTGATGGTGGCAAAGAATTGTTTTTGTTGTTCAATAAATGGCTTATATATTACAGGAAAGTGATCAATTCATCCTATGTTGACACGTTCAAACCAGTCCATCATAATGCATCACACCCTTTTAGTCTTGTATCTGTTCAGTATCTGGCAATGTCTGTTGCATTTTATCTATAGGATAAATTTCTGTTCTTTCTAGCAGAACAGACAGACTAGGAATGTTTAGTTTTATTGAATAGCAACCAATGAAAAATACCATGTATATTCTAATTTGTTGCCTTTATGAGTTCAACATAGAAAAGGAACTTTAAACTATTCTAGTGACTAAATATTGTCTAAATGTAGACTTGAAATACAGCTTCTGGGACCCACACTATGAAAGGGAATAGCAAAAAAGTTTGTTACTTAACTATCTGCTGTAGATATTACTGTCAGAGTTGTGAGTTCCTTCATGTTTATCTTATACAAATAAACTCTGATTAATTAGATTTCTACTGTCATGCAGTAAAGTCATCTGTCAGTCACATAAAGCATATCATTAAGCGTGTTCAAAGTGTGCTGTGTTCATATTCATCAATCTGTCCAATCAACATCCAGCAATGCTCACCACTGCCTCTGTTGGAACACAGCCCTGTTCCTCACAGAAAATGTTTTTCCAGCTACCCAGTTGGTGATTTCTGTATCAAACTATTTGTACATTGTCAGAAATGCAGCACATTTCTGCTAACTATGTTTTTGTCTCTTTCATACAGGAAGAAGGTGTTAGATTTCTACCAGCGGGCCTGCCTCTCAGGGTACTGTTCAGCTTTTGCATACAAGCCAATGCATTGTGCCTTGTCCTCCCAGCTCAATGGCAAGTGCATAGAACTGGTGCAGGTCCCTGGACAGAGCGCTATCTTCACATGCTGTGATCTGCCTGGGACAACCCCCATCAAACAGAGTAGTAGGAGGAACAGCTGGAGTTCAGATGGTATGTATGTGTTTCCTATTCTGTCTATAAGAAGTTCTTCTACTAGGCTGGGTGCTTTCTTTCTAATTAATCTAGAGCAGTAAGAACATTGTTGCACTAATTAAGCAATAAGGGTGTCTGAAATAGATGCATTTCCAGAACAAGTAATGATGTAGCAGCTGCTTAGTGTGATTCTGGTTTGGCTATTGAAGCTTGTGTATTTTTTTTTGCCTTGCAAAGTCTGTTTCTTTATGCAGGCAATCATGAGTCAAGACTTCTGGGTATTTTGATGCTTAGTATGCTATCTGATGGATTTTACGGAAATCACTTGTTTTTTCAAAGCAACTAAATGTTTGAAGGTGTATGACTACTCTCCCGTGATGGATTTTGCTGCTGTGCTGAAGGATAAGGTTCCCAGTAGATGTAGAATTGTACCTCTCCTCCAGAACAGCAACTGAGAAATAAGCACATACCGTTACATAAGGTGATACAGGAAATTCTTTTGTAAGACTAACCTTAATCTGTTTCTGCCTTGGTCTCCCATTCTGTAAAATGTAAGTAATAGGGTTTCCAGCAGCTGTGAGGCAGTAGTGACTGAGTGTTTTCAAAACACTTTTCAGTCTCACCTGTGGCAAACTTTGTGACTGTATAAAGTGTTTTATTATTTTGTTCCTCATGCTGTATCCAGCTCCCATTTACCACAGTGATGATGGTGAAGGAACACTGTCAAAGAGCCTTTGCGGGCCCTCTGGAAGCATCTGCAATGTCTCTGAGGGGAACATGACCCAGTTCCTCTACATCAGCTTCCTGTACTCTAAAGCCTCTTTGCCTCATCCAGACTTACCATGCTTATAAACACAGTATGATGTATTTAAAATGCACGTGCGAACATTATGCAGCACATATCCTCTACCTTTCTGCACCAATTTCTCGTGACTGATCCTTGTCTTCTGTTTTGTTTTTTTTCTTTACATGCTATTTCATACTCTTATTCTCATGTGTGGGGATGTTCTGAAACTGCTTCTGTGATTGGGTATGCTGGAACAAATGGATGCCTCTTCAACTTTCCTCTGTGTGTGTGTGTGTGTTGCATGTTTCTGTGTCTGGATACCATGTCCCTACATACTACCTTAATGGCCTCTCCCACCTTGTGTATTGTTATCTGATGTACATCTGGTCTCTTGTGTCTCAATGTGATTGCACGTTGTTTGCATGCCTGAAGAAGGGATTGGGGAAGTGATGGAGAAGGAGGACTGTATCCAGGCTCTGAGTGGACAGATCTTCATGGGAATGGTCTCATCTCAGTATCAGGCCCGTCTAGACATTGTCCGCCTTATTGATGGATTGGTCAATGCCTGCATTCGTTTCGTCTACTTCTCCCTGGAAGATGAACTCAAAAGCAAGGTAAGCTGTCTTTGCTGAAACCCCTAAACTTGTATATCCCAGCTGTCAAACTGGAGGGTTTAGCTCCTATGCAATCTAAGGGTAACGTGATTCACTTCCCTAGTAGGTCCCGAAGGTACTTACACTCCAGTATGGCATTGGTCTGCAATACCCTTCACGTGGATAGCTACACTAAATTCTTTTGCCTGCTCTCCTCTAGGTGTTTGCAGAGAAGATGGGTCTTGAGACTGGCTGGAATTGTCACATATCTTTAACACCCAATGGAGATGTGCCTGGCTCTGAGATCCCTCCTTCCAGTCCCAGCCATGCTGGCTCCCTGCACGATGACCTACATCAGGGTGAGAGTACTCCACCTAATCCACTTTGAATGCCACATGTTTCTAGAATGGTTCCCTTAAACCCATTCATAGGGTTCTGTTTCCTCACCAGATATCTGATCCTTTAGATTTTGAGCACAAAACAAGATGGGCCTGAGGTGTGTGCATGTGTGAGTGAGAGAGCCTTACGTTTATATATACACTTATAAATGTATATATATATATATATATACATACATTTATACATTCCTACCCAGTCAGTGCTCTAGCTGTTGGAAACAAGCATCCTTCTGTGCACAAATTGCCATGCTTTTACAAATGCTCATTAGTGATTTTGGTTCTTGCTAATATGGTGGTTAAACCACTGAAAATCAGTCTCTTACCTGTTAATTAGTCTTCTCTTACTTTGAGCAGGCTTCCATCACTCTCCTCTTCTTCTAAAAAAAAGAACAGAACAGATAAACTGTCATGTATTAAAAGAGCAGAGACTAGGCTCATATATCTACTTCTGCACACATTAATCATCTGAAAAAACTGCATCTTAGACGATTGAGGGGGATCTAAGTGTTGTTAACCTAGAAAATAAGGCTTCACATTTCCTGGCTACTGCAGTGCTGTGTGAATATATCATGTAGTTAGCACAAGAGTGGCAGAGGTGGGTTTGGGCTTACTGTTTATGCTGTCTCTGCTCCAGTTTCTCGAGATGATGTGGAGGGGCTCCTGCTAATGGAAGAGGAAGGGCATTCAGATCTCATCAGCTTTCAGCCAACAGACAGCGACATCCCAAGCTTCTTGGAAGACTGTAACAGGGTGAGGCTCCATTTCCCTATACACTCTGTGCTATTGTCAGGGTCACTATAATCATAACAGCACATTGGGGAATTCATTTTTTAAGCCAATTGTTGACTGGTTCATATAGGTTGGAAATAGGGGTTGGGATTAATGATAATCTCTCAGTTAATCACTTTTGCTGAATGTATTTACGTATATTTTCTCTGGATTTTAAGGGGGGAGATAATCACCTGCAGAGTGGCTTTGAGAGGCTCATCTCAGTTTGTCTGGATCCCCTTGCCATGTGCTGGGGAAGGAGTGGAAACATGCCAACACTCTACATAGACAGAAGAAACCTCTCACCTCCACCCATGAGCAGTAGTAGCTGATGCTGGCCAGCAGTCAGGGTGTGGGACATGTTCTTCCTGCCAGAAACTGAGACATGCTCAGCATAGGTTACAGAAGTATCTAATAGATACAGATTTATAAAAGTAATCTTTTAAAAGTTTATAAAAAGTGGGCTGTATTTAGGAAGCAAAATCCATTCCCTTGCTATGTAATATGGCTGCAACTGAAGTAGCAGGTATATGAGCTGGGAGACAACCCATATTCCCTAACCAGATTCTCCACACAGATAAAAATTCCTTACAAATTCTTGAAACAGATGTTGTTTCCTTTTTTTTTTTTTCTTTTTCTTGGGGGGGGAGGGGAAGGAGGGAGTTGTACTGACATTACAAACCCTAAAGGACTGCACAGATTGCCTGGTACATCAGTGTAGAACATCAGTAGGAAGACGACTTCTAGTGGCCTGGGAAAGCCAGCTTCTGTCTGCATTTATCCTGGGTGTCATCATTATAATTTCAGAAATTCCTCATTGTCTACCTCCCTCATACATACACTCCTGCTTAGTCTCCTCTTTGTCTTTTTCAGGCCAAACTTCCACGAGGGATCCACCAGGTCAGACCTCACCTGCAAAACATTGACAATGTGCCTTTGCTGGTGCCCCTCTTCACAGACTGTACCCCAGAGAGTAAGTAACACAGAGCCTGGGTCTGTCCTAGAACTAGGTGTAATTACTTTCCCCATGCACATGACTCTTCTGGGTGTGGACATTAGTGAATAACATAGAACAGAACAGAAATCCAAAAGGGTATTTTAATATTAATGACCCTCTATTGCTACCTGAGGGGAGGCAGATCTTTGTTTTAATACAACTTTCCTTAGCTACAGAAATGGGCTAAGAGTCACTTCACTTGCAAAAAAATAAGAGACACAAGTAAACATCCACAATGCTACTGCTTTTTATGAAGGGTTATCAGTGTGCTAGGAGACGATGATCTTTGCTTGCAACCTTTGCTTCCTTATGTAACTCAGAAATCACCTCCCAGAAGTACTTTTCTTTGGCAGTTACCATGGCACCACTTGCTGCTTTGCAGTTTTTGACTGCAGAGACCAAAAAAGACAACATTTCTTTTTCACCGAAACACTGTTTTATCTAAAGAGCCTCATTGCTCAGCTGGCAAATATCTGTCCAGTCTACAGTATAAATTCCAAGCATCATGATGATTTGACATTTTCAGGTACTTCTGGGCACAGTTTAAAGGAGTGCCAATGAGAATCAGTTACAGACCAGTCTGCCTAGGTGCTCGGTATATTTAATCTTTCTCGGACTGAGGTGGCACTTCCCCACTTCATCTAACCTCTTGCTGTTCCGCAGACCCAGGTGCACGAAACATTTAAATTAGTTGTTTATATAGGCATCTGCAGAGAAGGAGGGTGTTTTGTTTTCCTTGGACTCTTCTAGAAAACTCTAATATCTACAGAGTACTGTGCACAGAGCTACAGAAGAAAAGTCAGATCAAAAAGCAGTTTTGATTTAGAGTCCTCAAGAAGATGTTAATAAAAAGATCGAAGGCTTAGAGGTAGGGCTGGGATTGGAGTTACAGGGACTTGCTCTGAGCAAGTCTAAGCATGGTGTGCTTCATTATATTCTTTTTATTCCTTCAGACTTGGAACAGTAGTGAATTGCTGCAGAATTTGAAATTGTGTATTACAGGTTTGAATTAAAGTAAATTTAGTTTCTGCTGTTTTCTAGCAAGACCATCTGATGCTGATGTCATTTGTTTTACACAACCAGGATATACCTAGAACTCTGGCCAGAAAGAGACATGCTAGAGGTACAGATCTCTGGGTCACAGCATTGTGAATCACAGTTCAGTTCCTTCAGTAGGCAGATAAAAGGGCACTTGAACTGCAATTAATTACCAATCTGTTTGTGCCCTTTGACTTTGAATCTGACTACACACGAGGAATACCAGCAGGGGTCATTTTAAAAGATCTGTCTGCTCACTATCCAGACTAGAAAGGGTGTGTAAAACCTACATGCTTAATGAGATAATGCACTTTCTCCTTCTGTCCCCTTGCAGCCATGTGTGAGATGATTAAGATCATGCAGGAGTACGGGGAGGTGACTTGCTGTCTGGGAAGCTCTGCCAACCTGCGGAATAGCTGCCTCTTCCTGCAAAGTGATATCAGGTAGGACAGGATCCAGAGTCCTCTTTTGCCTTGGTGTTATACAATGCCCAACCATGGGTCACAGCAGACCTGGGGACTGTCAGGAGGATTGCTTTGTCTGTAATTGTTAGCTGGGTGTGTCACTATAAGGGACATTTGAATGGTGTTGGGTGGGATCCCATTATTTTTGAGTTGAGTGACTGCTTAGATTTGTTGATACAGATTCTTCTCTGTCTTTGAAAGGAAGCTGTTACTCTTACATGCTGAAATATTGCTCGCCAACTGGAAATGCAAAAGCTTCCTGTTTGCGCAAAATAGTGGCAGTGCCCCTCTGGATCAACCAATTTGTTGACCTTGAGCCACACATCCAAATATATTCATTATTTCTCTGGGAATAACTGAAAGCCTAGGATGATTGATCCTGAATTGATATCTCAACGAAGGACTTCATTACCAGCAAGGCAGATAGGGGTGGCATGGCACAGCATGAGTTTACAAGCTGGCCTGCAGTGGAGAACAGTTTCTCCTTTGGGATGAGGTATTTTACTAATGCTCCTGTGTTGTCCATACAGTATAGCACTGGATCCTCTTTACCCATCCCGCTGCTCCTGGGAGACCTTTGGCTATGCCACCAGCACCACCATGACTCATGCCTCTGATGAGCTCACCCCACTACAGCTCTCAGGACAGCTCAATAGCCTGCCTTGTTCCATGTCCTTCCGCCAAGAAGAGAGTACCAGCATTATAAGACTTATAGAGCAGGTGAGCCAGACATATCCCCTTTCTAGTTTTCTCTATCTTTGGCCCACCCCTTTCTGCCTGCAGCTCATGAGGAGCAAAGCCAAGAACCCATGTGAGCATTCTTGTTGAATTGCCTGCACTGACCTGCCAACATTAACTGTGCTTGGGTCTCCTGTCATTTGTGCAGAAAGTACGAAAGATTCTTCCTGTCTGGCCCTGCTGGTCCTAAGTATAGAGAATGACTTGGGAATGGTGCCCTGTGGTACCACAACAAGAAAATAATTCAACTGAATGAAGTATAAACTTCTTGAGATTCCATAGTTGGAAAAAACACATACTATAGTGAGGCATTACCCCAGAAAATCCAGGAGGTTTAAACAAACCTACCCCTTGGTTAAATTCTGTCCTTCCATCACAAGCTCTGCATCTAGGCAGGATGCCTCTCCTTTCCTGCAGGCTACATGATCTGCCCCTGCCTGGTGTTGGCTGATAATTGCTCCCATCACAGTGAGGGCTCTGAGGGTTTGTGCTTCCTTCCAGGCCCGGCATGCAACTTATGGGATCCGCAAGTGTTTCCTCTTCCTGCTGCAGTGCCAGTTGACGTTGGTCGTCATTCAGGTGAATCCTGGCCTGACTGGGGACAGTATTTAGGTCAGCGGACAGGGGTGCTGGCAAGGATAATGGGTGGCTGCAGCAGGGCAGCCTTGCAAGATGGGGAGATGGCCTTCAAGCAGTTTAATACAGCATGTTTGGAAAAGTTACAATCAAGACTATAAGATCGCAGTCTACTCCCCCTTCTCCTTGACTCTGCTACAGAAGTTTCTCTCCAACTCATTTTTCCTTGGAGAAAAGCATCCCCTACAGCATCTGCCTTAGCAGCCCAAAAAGTATGGAAGGACTGTGCAGCAGCCCACTAGTTACCAGATTGCACTAGTGTTCTGTGGGAGGATGGTGGCACCTGGGGGTAACGGGGCTGTCCTAGCACTGCTCACACTCTTCACTCTGGACTGTTCCTGTCTAGTTCCTGTCCTGCCTGGTACAGCTGCCTCCCATCCTAAGTACCACAGATATTGTGTGGCTCTCTTGTTTCTGCTACCCACTGCTCAGGTGAGTCTGTCAGGCAGGGTGGAACATCCTGCTTTCAACACCTACCACACAGACAAGTCCCCCAGCCTACTGTGTCTATGAGAAAAGGAAGTGACATCACCCACAGCATGCTAAGAAGGCTGCAAGGATTAGACTAAGTGCCTTCTCTGACAAAATGCTGGAAAATACAGATAGGAGTATTTGTGTACTGCTGGATAAGCTCTGCATGCTATCTGAGAGCTTCTTTTATCTTATGGTTTGAGCTTTCATCTGAGAATAATTTCCTAATCCTGATTCTGCTGCACTGGCTGGGGTGTGATAGAAAGCATAGGGCATTAGGCAAAGGCCAAGGTGCCACTAGTCAGTTTTCCCTATCACATAGTTACAAGTTGCCTCTCTCCGTTTGCTCCTGCCATGCCTGAGAAATTCAACAGCACACACATGAAGGAGTGGGATACGAGCACAGTTCAAGTACTCACCATTTCAGTGCCAATGTTCCAGTCAGAGAACGTTCTTTAGTTTCAGATGTTAGCCCACAAAGCAAAAGATTTGGTGCCTGAACTCATTAATGAGAAACTAACCCTCCTTTCTCCAGCATTTCACTCCTGGGCAAGCCTCCCCACAGCTCCATCATGACCATGGCAACAGGAAAAAACTTGACTTCTATTCCTAAGAAGGTAGGTGGCCCATCGTATCAGAATGTTTCCCCCCTCCTTCTCTTTGTCCACACATTGATGCATAGCTGAGAACCTGTGCTAACATAGGCCTTCCCAAATAACTCAGTGTACTGATCTGTGGTATAAACAATCCTTATTAAAACTCTGGTGTGGACACAAGGGGAATCTCTTGTTGCCCACATGCCTACAGAGCAGATTCACAGTGCAACATCCAGAAACTGTACTGCAGCCTCTGATAGTTCATGTTGGGGACCTTGGGCCAATGGCATGCCTGTGTCACTCTACTACCTCTCCCTTATCCACAGACTCAGCACTACTTCCTGTTCTGCTTCCTGCTGAAATTCAGCGTAACCATCTGTTCCTGCCTCATCTGCTTCGGTTTCACACTGCATGAGTCCTGCAAAGAGGTGAACACTACCAGCCTCAATCTCACAGCCTGCCCCTCCATTATGCTGCACAGGTGAGGAATCAAGTCTGGCACTGTACACCCCTTGCTATTTCCAGGTACAAATGATCCCCCTCTAACAAGCTTCAGGCTCTTACATGAACCAACCTTAATGTCTTTACAGTGTTCTTCCTAGCCTTGACAATAATATCTTTAGGGCAAAAGCTGGCCTTGTTCAGTGTCATGTGGTGTCAGGATGGCCGATTTTTCTAGTGAGAAGCTGACTCCAATCTCACACCCAGTTCTCCCAACTATCAAAGCAAAATGTGGCCCTAGAGGAAGCAAGTCAGACAGTAAGTTCCTACTGTTAAATTATTTCTTGTGTTCTCTCATTTACTAGCAATGCACATGGTGCTCCTGACTGGTTTGGGACATTTTCCAATGTTCTTCTTGTAGCCCAGAAGCTCACAGCTGGCCTGATTGTTTTACACACAGGTGAGTCCTTATTCTCAGCACCCATCTCCCCAGCTCTAGGAAAAAAACATGCATCTTGTGTTTCTTCTTGTGTCCCCACTATGCACAAACTCCATTAGAAGCAGAGACTCTTATGGCCTCCTGACAAAAACATAAAGTCCCTTATATTACGGTAATCACCCTAACAAATATAAGTCAGCACCTTCAGAGTTGATTCTGCCTTTTACCTGCTGGTGAAGTGCTTATTCTCTTGCATCAGAAAGGTATCCTCTGTCTTTGTGTAAATTAACTAGCAGGGTTCTAGAGCTCTTCAGAAATATGCCTCACCATACAAGTCCCTCTGTTCCTGTCAACATCTTATAAAGAACCCTCATTCCTTTTCCCAATCTGTCTCTGTAGTTTTCATATCCATCACCCATGTCCATCGGACTAAGCCCTTGTGGAAGAAGAGCCCCCTCTCCAACTGGTGGTGGACGCTCACTGTGGCTATTGTGTGAGTATCCCCAGGCCCTTATGAGGGATTCCAGAGTGCTGACGGGAGGAGGGCTCTAGACCTTCTCCAGCACCAGATTACTGACACAGGAAAATGGTTGCATGCAGCACTGGTTCTGCATTGCTGAACTTCTGCAAGGTGAAGTATCCCTGTTGTGAATCTGGAGATAGTTTATCTGGGCCTGAATCCTGATGTATAGATCCTGGAAAGTGTTTTAGCTCTGCTGAGAACTTGCTGTGTCTGTTTATGATCTTAGATTAACGGGGCAAGTAGCACAGACCCTGCTGGACCTGAAGCTCTGGGAAAACCTCAGTTCTCCACTGACTTTTAAGTACATTTCCATCTCTCCAGTCTCATGGCTCCTGGGTTTTCTTTCCTTGATCCTGGTGGTTATCATCAATGAGATTGTCAAGCTGCATGAAATAAGGTATGGGAGTAGTAGGGAAGATGTAGACAAAGGGCTGGATCCTTACTGCAGCTTAGTCTTGAGCTGCAGAGAAATAATACACAGAGAACAGGTGGGGAATAAAAAGGAAAAGGTGATTGCGCTGTGTAAATCACCTGGCTATTGTGTGCAAGCTCATGTTCCAACTCTCAGAGAGGAAGTACAGAGAAGGAAAGAGGATCAGAAGAGGGCAGGGACACTGAGACCAAAATTCCTTATCTCCCACCAGTGAGAGGAAGACAGCCAACATCTGTGAGATGCCTAGTGTGGCTTGGAGAGGGCTGTTCTCTATATCTTGTCTCAAGAGGGACAGGGAAGCACTGAATCACAGTAAAGGAAATAATGTCTTCACACAGTGCCTGGATTGTGGGATGCATTTACATGGAAAGTAGCTGAAACCAAGAATTGGCAGGCAAAGTTCTTCCTAGTACAGGGAGCAGGTAGAGCTGGGAGTTAACACTGAATGAACATTGATTCAAGAAAGAGAGTTGGCGGGGAAAGGCAACGGGGATTGCAGGGAATGTTGATTGGGGTACAGCTTCCATTTCTGTTCATGGGAGGGGTTTCTGGACCTTTCTGCACTGTGTCTGGTGGCCTTGGAGACAGGACTTTGCTGGTGGGGGTAGGTGTGACACCATGAGTTGCTCTCCAGATTTGACTCTTCTCTCAGTACTGGAGAGCCCTGGCCAGGGGGCTCCCCTGCTTCTCAGGGCTGTGCAGCGCAGGAACTGCAGTGGGGCAGCTCTGCCTTTTGCCCCTCCATGTGCTGACTCTGCTATTTCTCCTGTCTCCTCCAGGGTCCGGGTCCGTTACCAAAAGAGGCAGAAGTTGCAGTTTGAAACAAAGCTGGGGATGAATTCTCCATTTTAAACGCTTTCAACCTGAATTCCCTGGGGCCAGGGTCACACAGCAACATCCTGCAAGGGGAGAGCAGCTGCTCACAGGCTCAGGAAGTTTCCTTACACATACAAACCAGATGGCCTCTGCAAAACTGCATCAGAACCTTCCAGGGGAGGCTCAGGCAGGGCGCTTCTATCGGGATCCCCCAGTAGGTATGCAGTCCTTCTCTGGCCTGCCAAGTTGCTCTCAAGGGAGCCTGCAAGCTCTGGTGGCTTTTCAGGCTACTGTTCCTTTATTTATTTATTAGTAGATGTTTTTGTTAGTATAATGGTGATGCTGAAATCAACTGACTCCTTCCTTCTGGGTTAGCAAATGGTTTTTTTTGTTGTTTTGTTTGTTTGTTTGTTTTTTACCTGGTAGGATAATCTGGGACCAGAAGGGGAGCTACAGGGCTGCTAAGGCAAAAGATTTCTATTGAAACCCATTTTTTTTCCTCTTCCTGCTTTCCTGGATGATGCATGTGTGCATGCCTGCGCATGCCCTCAGCTACCTTCCTCAGCTATCTCTCCTACTGCTCTTGAGAATGTTGTGGGAATGTGACCTCCAGCACTCACCTGACACAAAGGGATACTGGGAAGGAACTCTGGCGCCATGCTAGGAAAGCCCCCCATATGTCATGGCCAGGACTGCCCTTTAGTGTTGTAGCTGCATGCCAACTATTAGTGCTTCAAGAGATGAATGGAACAGGGCTTTAAGAAAAGCTGTCTGAGTTTATCCCTACTTCTGTGGAGCACAGGGAGTTAGGAGGACAACTCTGCCTACTTGCACAGCCCAGCTTCCTCCAGCCTATTTGAACCAGCTCTTGTCTGCTTTAATTGCCCTCAAACAGGTAGGTTTACAACTGCCCTCATTTTTGTGATTTGAATGTTCTGCTTCAGCAAAATGCCTGCTTGAGAGAGCCCCAGCAATATTTGCAGCTAGAGATAAAACCTGAAACCTCCCTACCCCTGCCATGGAGCAAGGGAGTTATATTTCCATCTATATCTTGCAGCTGTGACTCCTTTCCCAGCCTGGAACTGTGCTGCACCCATGGAATAGGGGTTCCCTCCTCCCAGTCATGCCTTTCTGTGGTAGTGCTTGGAAGTCTCTCCCCTCCGTGCTTCTCCCCACACAGCTATACCCATTTTTCTGAGACACCTTTCTTTGGCTGGGGGAAACATTCCAGTGATGGCTACTGCAAACCATGATGTGCCCCCAGTGCTGCACACACACTCCTGAGCTCTGAACAGACCCTAGCTGCACAGGGAACAGCGGTGCTGTTGTGGGCTATGCAGGAGTACATAGGCTTGCCTACCATGATATTTACAGCTCGTGGAGATGTTGACTCTCTTCCTAGTTCTAAAAACTGGTTAAACCTGACAAATCCTGGCACTGTTTTTGCTTCCAATATTAACACTACAGTACACAGCTGCTGTTTCCCTTTGGTGTCCTAGGCTAACACAAGGCTGCTGATCCTTCCCTGGCAGGCAGGGAGCTAGCTGGGATACCCAGCCCTACCTGCTGCTCCACCTTGTCTTCCTTACATTTCAACAAAAACAGGGAGAATGCACAGTGCTTGTCATTAAGCAATACCCTTATTGCTGTGGGTCTAGCAGGGGAGTTGGAGTACAGCCAGTCTTTGAGCTCTGAGGACAGAGTGAGGCTGCTGGAGGCACAGTACGGGTGTCAGGGGGCCTGGACCTTGTTCTGCAGCTGGAGAGGGGCTGCTCAAGGCTCTGTGCTGCTGGTTCTATGGAATAGAGAGCCAGTAGCTGAGTGGGGAAAGGCAAGGCTGCTCACCTGCAGTGCAGCAGTACTAGGTCAGCCTTTGCCAGGTGAGCTGACCTGAGCTGAGCTCTTCCTTCACTCCTTTTGAATCTGCAGGGCTGCTTGGCTCAGAGAGAACGAGCTGCTTCTTTCAGTCTCACTTAACTCGCTAAGTGCAAGCTCCAGATCACTGGCAACTGAGAAATCAGCTGCTGTTTCTGATGCTAGGCTGATGCTGGCAAGTCGGGCACTATCTTCTCCATAGCCATGTTGAGCTGCAGGCAGAGGCAGCACCGAGCTGCTCTATGCTATGCCTGCAGGGCAGCCTGCCACCCAGACCTTAGCTCTTGCTCCATGCCACTGAACTTGTGGGCAACAAAAGGCAGCAGCTACCAGGACTTCCTGCTGGCTGCACCTTCCGCGAGAGGCGGTGCCTCCAAGGTTTCTTTCTGTGGGTGATCACAAAAGTTATTGTTCTGCATCCTCCTTCCTGTGTTAGACTTGGGCAGAGCCAAGGCATATTAAGCAGGCCTTTGGGATGGTCTGACATTGGCAGTCCTCCCTCTGCCATTGAGGCACCTGAGAACTAGAGTGAATGGCTTCAGGAAGAAGTTTCCTACATCAAGATGTTTTTAAATGGTGTATATTTTATATTAAATTTTTGGGGGATGTATGTAAAAATATTTGATTTGTATTAAAACTTGTATTAAAAAAAGAAACAAACCCTAACACACATGCATCCAGTGTATGAACAGCAATGAATTACTGTCTTGGATAACATAGTCAGTGAGTGCAGGAGGGAGTCTGCACCTTGCAAAGCGAGGAGCTACAGATGTGTGCGGTTGGTCATGCCATAGGGTCACAGCTAATGTAGCTCACCTCTGTTGTAGGAACACATCCTGAAAGCTTGGTACTCCCAGAATCCAACCCTGACACTTTCTCCCAGTTTTTGCTGAGCCTTGGGCAAATGTGCCCAACACTGCGTGGTTCTCCCATACAGCAACCTTTCCCTTACCAATCATGGATCCCAGGCATGTGCTTGCTGCATGGTCATTGCTGACTGCTTTGAATGCAGCAGGTGGTGCAGCTTGAAGCTCAGGATGAAAGGCTGGGGTGAGGAGCAAGCACTGGGAGCTCTGGAGAAACACTGATGAGATAAGGTCTGGGCTGCTTGGCCTGAGCAAAGGACCGAAAGCTGGGCAGAGGGACTGGAAGGCAGTCCCCAGTGTGTTCATCACACACTGCTGTCACAGTTATAATGCTCAGACTGAACATTAACCTTGCTAGAGGTGACAGCAGATCTCTTATCAGGGAAATTATCTGAAGGAACCCAGATCTTAAGTATGCAGAGGGCAGGATAAAGCTGCTCCTCAATGGACTTCGAACAGAGCAGGAGGCGAGTTCATATGATTTGACATGAAGGAGACAACTATGCAGAACTATAAAAAGGGTAAAATAGGCCCCACTGTTTAATAGAATTCAGTCTTAATGGATGTTAGTGGAAAACAAAATACATTATCAACACAAACAGAGCAGAAGGTTTAAAATCTTGTCAGTCTCGTGATTACGTGGCGATTTGTTTTGCATGTCTTGCTGCACAGAGCAGGTGCAGGCAGGGTCAGTCCCAGCCACAGTGTACATAACTTACACACCATACAGTAGCTTCAAAATAGAGATCTAGAGCTTAAAAAATAGGCATTCTTCTGAAAAAATCAAGTGTTTTAATTCCCTTATTGACAATGAGAACAGCATGATGCTGCCCTCAGGTGGCTCAGACAGTGACAGCTCCACAGCAGTGTCCTCTTATCCCTGACCCAAGAGTACAAGACTTGCGGTTCTGGCTAGTAAATATATATAATAAATCACATTTAAAATATATACATTGGCCTTTAAAAAAAAATTAGTTTATCAACATCAGGAAGAACAAACAAACAAACAAACAAAAAAAACTGGATTTGTCCCAGATTGACTCATGAGAATAAAAAACAGTTGTTAAAGGTTTGTGCAAACCTTTCGATAAAGTGCCACTGGCTGGAGCTATTTTAAAATCATCATGTCCACAATGTAGCACTTGCCTGTCAGACATGGTCATTTAAACACACGCAATATGATGCATAGAACAGAGCAACCAACTAGCCAGGAGTAAGGTACCTTAACTACCTCAACCTTACCTCAAATACCAGCCAGTTCTTTCTTGGGGAATTTTCCATCTTTGCTTCCCAGCCTAGGAGCAAGGCTGGCACCTCCTACCAGGCCGTGGTGCTGTGGCCATGTGGGGGAAGGCCCACGTGAGCCAACTGGGCAAGCTCTGCTCCTCCATGCAAGGCAAAGGGCTGTGAACAAGCTCCTTCAGTCTCACATTCCCCAAAAGACTGGGAAAACCTTCTTGGCCACCTTCTCCCTTTCCAGTTTGGTTTTGTGTGGAACATTTTCTAAAAGAGGTTGGAAATGGAATTTATTTTTCCCTTTGTTCAGAATTTTTCTAACAAATGGCACTTCAGTACAATCTTAGATTCCCTTCTGGTGCTGCGGTGCTTTCATTTGCTTGGCATGCTGAGTGCAAGCCAAGTTCAGGGCTCTTGGTCATATTTAGACATGCACTACTAAACAGATCCTGGAAGAGAAATCTGTCTTCAAGCTATGCAGACGTTCCTATTGCTGGATGCAATGAGCTACCACTGCTGTTCCCCTGCTGCAGCCACTGGGCTGTAACTGCATCCAGTGTGGGCACAGCAGCTGTTACTGAGCTGAATTCACCCCATGCATGTGGGATCACCTCTCTCACTGGGTTTTAGCACTGCATGGAAGCCTGGTCCCAAACACTGCTGCTGTGTAACAGCATTCACAGCCTGTGCCAGCATCTCCTTGCAGGGAGAGTGCAAATGGGAAGAGGGAGTAGGAAGAGGGCCTAAAAAGAAATGAGGATTAAAAAAAAAAAAAAAAAGCCACCACTAGCCATTCTGCTACTTTATCCCTGGAAGCATGAGGGCTGCATTTTGGGTAGGCACAGTGTCAGCAAAGGACAGCCTCCATGGAATACATTGCTCTAGACTGCCTTAAATGCGTCCATTTAATGCAATGCAGCATTCAGTGCCACCATCCCCATGACTGCAGGCATAGGCAGTGCCAGCCCCATCCCGGGAGGTGTGGGTCCCACTGGGGCTTTCAATCCACTCACATTACATGCTGCCTGACGCTGATGCATTTGGAAAAGCAACAAATAAAGCAGGAAGGTTCCTTCTCACTGTATGAGCTGCCAAATGAGGACAAGCCCCTGTCTTCTTTCAGCTGCTGTCAGGCAAGGCTCTGCGCGGTAGCCAGCTCCATGGCAGCTGGCCAGGAAGGTCTTTCTTTTGACACACTGTTGGCAGGGGATAAATAAGAAGAAGCAGGACTCAGTGCAGTGAGGAAAGAGAAAGGTCCCTTGTGGAGGTTCCTCAGCTCTGTGCAAAGGGAGCGAGGACTCCTTCATGGCCTCCAGGAGCGCAGCCCTCCTGGGCTCTCCTCCTTCTGTCAGTCCAAAGGAAAATGCCAGCCTCCCTCGGAAAGCAGCCTGCAGTTGTGCAGCAGTGGTGACATGAGGCCAGGCAGCTCTCAGTGACATGAGGGGTGAAGAGGGCAATCCACATCCCCAACAGTGGTGCAAAGTGCAGGGAGGGGGCAGCTGGAGGGACCTGAAGGCACCGCTTGGCGCTGATCCGTTCTTCCCCCATCACACTGACAGAGCAGACAGAGGCAGGAAACAGGGAACAAGCCTCAGTCCAGCATCGCATCCAACTGGTCAGCCAGATCATCAAACATATTGCTGATGTCCTCCAGGATGTTCTTGGCCGAATGCGTGGCCCTGGGGGGGCTGGGAAGGAAAGGGAGAGGTGGTTAGAACACAGCCTAAAGGCTCAAGATGCAAATGGGGCAGAGGCAGCCGGGACAGCACAGCCAGACCTCAGCATACTCAAGCGAGTGTGTCACAGGCATGTGTTAGCTGTGTGCTGCAGCCTGCACACAGCCCTGGGGCTGCCTGGGCACCAGCTGCTGCCTGTAGGGCTGGAGACCCCCAGCCCTGTGCCTGTTTTCACTGACGGCTCCCCAGTACCATTCCCAGGGGACTCACCCCAGCATCTTCCTCTCCCCCAAAGCCACCTCACCTCTGCACCTCCTCCACTGTGATCTTCTCAGCTGCCTGCAATGTGGTGATGCTGGTGTGCTCCAGCCGCTGCTGGACCAGGGCAGCCTCTGGGGCAGAGGCCAAGGGCTTTACAAACACCTTGCCGCTTGCCTCCAGTGTCAGCGGGCTGGGGCCAGCCAGGGACCCGATCACATCTGGCACCGACTCAGTGGCTGCCCAGGGAGCGACAGTATGGCGGGAGGGCTGCAGGACCTGCTGGTAGATGGTCTTGGGCCCAGAGAACACCAGCTTGGTGGACGCCACTGAAGTGTGCTTGGCAGGGATGTCTGCAAGGAAAAAAGCCTCATGGCATGAGGTGGCACAGGTGCCCTTCATTGGGCTGGTTGGGAATGCCACGTGGAGCCAGCCATGGTAGGAGGGAGCCTCAGGCCCTGCCACAACCCTAGAGACCTCCCCACAGATCCCCATACCTGGAGCAGACATCCTCACCACAGCAGTGCCGAGCAGTTCTGTGGGGCTGGGAGCTTTGATGGGGCTTGGTGCCTTCTTAATCCCTTTCTCCAGCGACAAGATGCTCTTCTCTATCTCAGCAATCCTGAACTCTACACTGTCATCATCAAAAGCATCTCCAGCCAGTTCAGCCTGTGGTGCTGCTGGCCCCTGTGTGGCAGGGCCCACGATGCTTACAGCCTGGGCCTGGGCATACTGGGGTGCAGAGCTGGCCCCCACATCAGCCTGCCCTGCCATGCCGAATGCCTTCAGCACTGCCTGCAGTGGCTCCCGCTCCTTGAAGCGGGGCCGGCGCTTCACTGTGTCTGACTCAGTGAGGTTGAACTCCAGCATGGGCAGCTCCCTGGTGGCAGTGGACCCAGCTGTCTCCTTCCCATCAGAGCACGGGGACTCTGCAGGCTGGGAGCTGGGCTCTGAGCCTTGCACTGCAGTGTCAGCCCTGGGGTGCCCGGCAGGCTTTGGTCGCTGCTTGATGGTTAAGTTGCCTTCTTCTGCAAAGGGGATGCACTCACTGGAACTGTTCTGGGAGGATGAAGAGACCTCTGGCTTGGCCTCTTCTTCTGCATCTGAGCAGGCATCCTCCTGCCTACCCTGCACAGCCTCTGACATGGGAGTGCTGGGCTCACTCAGTGTCCGCCTCCTCGGCTTGCTGCTATCAAATGGGTCCCGGCTAGAGTCAGAGAGCACAGTGCTGCTGGGACCACAACTGCTGTGGGACTGATCATCTACAGCAGCCCTGGAGAGAGAGTCCTGAGCCACATGCAGCAGTTTTGGGGCCAGGAGAGGTTTGGGTGGATTCAGCCCTGGTGTTTCCTCCAGTGCGGCCACCAGGCTCCTTACTGTCCTGCTGCAGTCACTGTCACTGGGGTTGGCACCTGTGTCAGCCACATCCTGGAGTACAGAAGGCTGTCGCTCAGGGTCAGGGGGCTGTTCACTGTCCACTTCAGTGGTGGGAGTGCTAGAGACAGAACTGAGACGCTTGGGAGGTGGTGGCGGGGGGCCTTTGCGCTTGGCCCGGATAGCAAAGGACTGGCTGCGGGTCA